CTTTTTGGATATCAAAGCCCTAAATATGGCAGAAAACTCGTGATGCCAAAAATGGCTAGACATCACATAGAATGCTGCTTCATTGCGTCTGATTCCTTTCTGCATACGGCATGAGACAGGAACAAACAAAACTTGTCAGAACCTTACATTCATAGTTGGTGTGAGTATTTTCAGAAGCCGATAATCATGGGCGTGAAAATAAGTGTGGTCAATCGAGGCAGAACGCACTTCGTCAGCTCCGGTTTATGAAGCATCATGTTATGATGGCGGCTTCTAATCGCCGTGCGAGGCTGCAGTTTGGCATGACCAAGTCAGTTGCTACCTGAATGGCGGGCTTGATCTATCATGAAGATTTATTATCAATGCTCAGTAGGTGGGACAGGGAGGCGCTTCATCACTCACAGATCTGCAGCCTGGATGAGATTCCTAACACCAGGCAAGATACCTCAATTGGATTCGGGGGGAGCAGCGGATATTCTACTATGCGACAATCCGGATTACGAATACTAAGCGATGAAAGCCCTTATATTTGCCATAGCCTAGGGAATATAGATCACCTAGATAGTTACTCTTTAAGAAGGATCAAGCTCTGATAGAGTTTTAGAGTTATATATAAATAACTAGTAATTTCTGAATATTATACTGTATTAAACTTTCTAATAATAGGCATAGTATAATATATTATATGTCAAGAATAAGGTGATAAAACTGCAGTTTCACTATTAAGTATCTGTGCGCGGGTTGGTCTGGAGCTGCTGTCGGTAAGTAGTCCAAGGATCTGCTTCCTAAGGTATGAAAGTACCAATGTATGAACAAATGGTCTATATATGCTGATGTTAACTATTGATTCCATAATGTATGATCAATGGATGCTGACAATCCTATACTTTTAGTTCAAAAGAACTATAATCAAGCGGTACATAGGCCTAATACTCAATGAAGCATGTCACAGGCTTGATTTGCATAAAGGAAAAAAACATCATGGCAAGCCAGGCGATATTAAGAGAAAGAAAAATAGTAAATGGATGTCGCTATTATGGATCCAAGCCGAGGAGGAAGCTCTGGAGCACCCTCTTTCAGGACCCCTCAGCACAGTCTCTTTAATTACTAGAGGATGCAACCAAGGGCTGCCTAAAAGAAACTTGAAACCGGTGAATCAACAACCTGAACGGTTTACTTGGCTGACTGGCCGGACTTGGTATAGTAAGGTATCTTGGACTGCAAGGTTGTGTCTATTCCTTTGTCCAAGTCAAGGTCCCGAGGATTCTCCCCCGCCAAGTCAGCAAGGAACCCGGACTTCTGCAGTGAACTTTCCATGTCACCCGGGGTCTATCTTTGATTGTCGACTTTTATGTTCTGTCATTCTGGTCCGGTTTCTTGGGCCATTCTGTTCTGACCCGGGATTTAAGAACAGGTCGAGGCGCCTCCTTGGATGTTATGAGATCTCCCTCTGCTCTAGAAAGCCGTCTCTATTTGTAAACTGATAAGAGCATTTGATCTATTTCCAAACACCCCACCATGTCCAAATTCAAGTATACAGAGCATGTCCCGTTCCGCGAGTTGATCGTTGGAGTGGAAAAGGTTCTTCGCGTGGCTGGAATCCCGAGTGTCCTCTGGGACACCTGCTTGTTGAGCACGTATGGTGTTCCTGTCCATATGGAGGTGAGTTCAGGGAATAAATTCCTCGCCTGTTTAGATGTGTTGACAACTAACCGCAACAGTATGTCGATTTCGTAGTTCCTGATCATCAGATAGACGCGGCCATCCAGGCCCTGAGGGACGTGGGCTTCTCCGATGGCCAAGACTTCCCCTTTAGGTGCAAATGGCAGGAGAAGAAGAAAGAGGAAATGACGAGATCAGTTCCTTGGCCCGCTCACTGGTTCCACTTGCACTCGCTCCCCTGGACACCGGACCAGGAGTTCCCTGAAGACACCTACAACCGCATGCAGCAGGGCAGCATGCATAGAGACCTCTGCCTGCATCGAAAGTCCGAGGCCCTCTGGGCACTGCCGGATTTGAGCCTCGAGGACCCGGCGCCGGACGACCCCAACTACATGCTGGCAACCGACCCCCGGCTTCCCGAGGATCGTCCCGGTTTCGGCCGTGGTCGCTTTACGGTGCCAGGCTGTCGACTCCAGATCCCGACTCCCACCCGCTACACGGAGTCTTTGTTTCTCATCGTTGCGCGTGAATGGGAAATGCTGGACAGGGGCGAGTTTTGGGTGGTCTACTTGTACTATATGAGTGAGTATGTGTACAAAGTGTCAATGGGTGAGGATTTTATCAGCCCTGCTACGCTGGATCCGTCGCTCGGAAAGATCTGGAAAGCATATTTGGATGACAACCTCCCTGTGAAGGAATACAATCGCAAGTACATTGTTCCCCTGCGGGAGGATTTGATCAGCAAGGGTGCGCTTCCGGAGACCGCGTTTCCGTGGGCAATGAGGCATGAAGAAGTGCGTCCCTGGATTCTAAGAATGAGGGCTGCTGGACGCTTCGGATAAACAGGGGTGTCCGTCTGGAGGACGCCGTTTCTAGTGGCAAAGGCAAAGGAGCTCGCGTACCTCTGGCTGCTGGGAAGGAGGAATGCGAAATGGGCACAGCTCCTGCCTATTGTTTTATTATTTCTCCTGTCAGTTTGAATCTCTACTTGTTGCGTTGTGTACCTTGGCTTCGTCTCCTTCACATGGCTTGTTGAGTCTTCCTATGTTTGCAGTACCTAGTCATTCGTTTATGATGTCTGTTAAATTTTTCGAATGAGCTTCCAATAAAATTTGATCTCGATACAAAACGTTCAACGTAGAATGTTGGTAAACCCCAGAACACCCGGCAAAGCTCCAGCATCACATCACCCATCAGGAGCAAGAGAAAGAAGGCATCTCCATGCCCGTGTCCATCCATCAAGTCACAGACGAAGAGCTGCTATCCAGTCATTCCTTGTCTCATCAAAGAAGCAGACAACGTCTTCCAGCCCATCCTGGATAGCGTCACGCTGCCATGGCTCCCAAGTAACGACCTCGGGAAGCACGGCGGCCAGCTCCCAGGCATCCTGAGCATCGACCCGGTTTTTCCTTTGAGTGGAACGCGTCCCGCAGCAGTAGACTTTCAACGCGATCATATCCTGCACCGAGAGGAAAGGCGGATGCTCCGCTTGGATGTCCCCGATCCGTGTTGCGTCTGCGGGGAGAACCTCACGGGGAGGGTCAGGGATTTTGCGATGATGGTAAGGCAGTGCAGTCTGGTGGGAAATTAGATCCACTTGGACCAAGTCGGTACCGGAACAGTAGTATAGAACATCAGCACGGAGTCGAAAATGATCTGGGTCTGCATTGGCAAGCGCTACCCTGATGTCATCGGTTGGGTAGTCGAACTCGATCATGAGGTCCAGATCCTGCCAAATGCATGTTAGAGAGATACAAGTGTCGTAAAGCAGAACAAGCAAAAATGGTAAAGGAAAACCTGAGTCTCCCGACGCTCGTCACCTAGGTAGTGCTGAACACAAAACCCCCCAATGACAGCAAGCTTCCGGTCTTCTAGCCTCCTGGTTTCCAGCCTTCGGTCATCCAAAGTTAGAGGACCCTGCAATATGCGAATCACACAGGAAAGAGCCTGACGGAATAGGTTACGAGGATTGGCCATGAACAGGGAAGGTGTATTATGACTTGAGAGATGAGGGGGCGGACAAGGGAGTGTGAAATAGTGATCGCAGTGGATATTCAGTAGTGCGCCAGCAGTTGATCAAACACTAGATGGTAATCTAATGATCTGTAGAATCACGTATAAAAATACTGGAAAGCTTAGCCATTTTATATCACTAGCTATACAGCTCTGATTCTGCAGATCAAAGTAGCTTCTCTTATATTAAGACACAAGTGTTATGCTGAGACTGACACCAATAAAGAGTAACACCAGTATTCCTTTCATCACAAAGTGAGAAGAAACATGGTTTAAATTGAAGTGTGGCCTCTATTATCTTCCTGTGTCTTATTTCTTTGGTACTTTGAGTGAGACCTTAGCTGGTGTTAAGAACTAAACTCTTGTTGCAGCCAAGGCATTGATAACAATGTATTCTGACACCAGCCCTAACACACCTGTCAGTCTTAAGTACTGTTACAATTTCTTTGTTTAAACTGCTATATACCCCGCAGATATTACATCTTTCTTGTATAGTAGTTTCTTTATTTTAAAACTTTGACTAAAAAACACCATATAGCTGGCTAAGAGAACCTGGACTCAAACAGTTTTATCTTCTTCCTCGACAAGCTCTATCAACATAGCTCTACCAATACATTTCCTTCTCAGCAGTCATCAATTATGTGATGACCCTGCGCGCAGCACCGCGCTTGACTCTGTAGTCTCTGATGTAGTCTCCCTTTGCACCTAGTTAGCTGCATTAGGAAAGGAAGGGCTCAGGGCTCAGGGCTAGGGTTAGTGGAGGTCTCATACCACCCACCACCACCTTCGGTCCTCTCACCTTCTCCCTTCCCTCTCCACCTTTGTTCTTCTCATGATAGGACTCAAACAAGAAATGATTACGTTCGTCTTTTCTGCCTGATCTGCCGGTCATCACAAATTATGGCTCTAGGTTTTCATAGGTAATAAGTCCGGAGTCTCTGCGGCTGCTGGAGCCTGACTGCCTGTTATTATCCTGAAGCTATTCCCACTGTCTGCCTGTTGTCTCTTTTTACATATATTGACGCATGTAAGCGAGCGACGCACCTCTGTATGCCACATAAAACAGCACTTTCTGTGATAGCCCTCTCAGAGGTTGCTTACATTCTGCTGTACCAGACTGTTGACTGCCATCTTGAAGTAATTCTATATTAAGAGATTCTGTTAGGGATTTTCTGTTTACTTTATATAACTAACAGCATCATAATATCTTATAATTAAGCTATATATAGATTCCCTCTCTTTCCTTCCCTCTTTCTTTTTCTTCTTCTTCTTTCTTAAGCTTAGTATTCGCATCTAATACTACTATGTGTTTCTTACAAATGAGCTGTGTGTGATATAATACTAAGCTTTACTTTATTTCTCTTTTCTTCCCTGCTACTAGATTGCAGAGATCTTCACCACACTCATTAAATGCGTTGTGGTCCTCTCTCTGTTCTCTGGAAGCAAGCATTTTTCCGTGTGCCAACGACGCCTAAATAGTTGGATTGAATGAACTGTGCGAACCAACGAGGGAATCAAGATAAATGAAAAGACCAAGAATAAATTACTGATGAATGATTGAATGGATGACAAAAGGGCTAAACCAGCTGAGATTCTCCCATCTGAGGGCAGCCACGCCCGTGGATTCACTAGACAACTAACCCTTCTCATGAACCAAGTTGAGAGTGATGGGATGGATGAAGACACTAGTGGCAAGGCGGAATCCATCTCCTATAAAGAATTTACTGAGCATTGGAAGACTGATCCAACCTGCTGTTAGGAGGCGATCACCCAGATCTACAGAAATCTTAAGAACCAGTCAGACTAGTGAGGTGAGGATCTCACTCTGATGAACAAATGAGTCATTGAACTGAATGAAGAAGCTAATACCCTGAAGGACTAAAGGAAGCAGCAATTCTTAAGCATAACTGTCTGACTGTGGCACTGAATGCTGCTAACTAGGAATGAGATAATGCTCTTAGGTAGTTGGACTAAGCACGGCATAAATGAGATGAATTTGCCCTACAGATTGCCTGTGGCTTTGGAAGTATTAGCTTCCAGACTTGTCCAGCTGGAATTAGCAGTAAGTCAATCAAGATCCCTGACCCTCCACTCCTAGGAAACAGCAAAGACCCTTGATTTAAAGACTGGTTTCTGGTGATCGAACAGAAGTTGCAAGCTAATGCTGATTATTATAATACTCTAACCCTCTGAATTGCCTATGTTGCAAGCTGAACTAAAGGAAACGCCCGCAAGCATATTGCTCCTTGTCTCAGAGATGATACCCTGAACCCCTACAAGGACACCACTGATATGCTTGTTTATCTAGAGAATGTCTTTGCTGACCCCAACCGCAAGTGAGTGGCTAAGCAGAAGTATAACACCCTGTATATGAGGCCTAGCTAATAGATACTTATATTAGTGGTTTACTATATATCCAAGGTTATTCTTATATTAGCAATGCTTATAGAGGGGTTTTACTGTAGTTTTAAAATATAGCCTTGACACTCTGTTTACTAAAGAAAAACAACTGAAACAACACAAGAAAGACAGATTTCGCGATGTTCATGAACCTTAGGGGGACAATGCTCACAAAAACAAATATTAAACATTGTAACAACAACTGATGTTCCCAGAGCATCAACTCAAGACAAGTAATCAAGTACTGCGATTTCCATTCACAGCCAAGTGGCTCTCCAAGATACCGTCCCCATTCACAGTTGAGTGGTTCTCCAAATTTCCATTTGCTCGAAATTCGTTAGTACAGGGAACGATCTGCTTGCCAGCTTCATCCATTTCGATGAACCAACTAATTTGAAGCGTCCATTAGCATTGTCCCAAGTTGCGATGATCTTCTGGCCAGACTCACAAATCATTTTCCGTGCCTTCCTCTTCCTTCACTGTGAAGCCGTTGCCCATAAAAGCAAACATAAGATCAGGATCCGGGCACAGATTGGTCCATTCAAAGTCCTCATACCGCGGGTTGGTGAGGAGGTGATAGAGCTGGTGCCTTGATCCAGGATGCAATGACCGAAGCTCGCCAGTCTTGGTGCCGTTCTTGTAAGTGCTAGAGCAGGATGAAGCCCAGGCGGTCCGTGACAAGAAAGCCAAGGCGTGGTTTTGATAGGCCCGCACAGCACGGCTCTTCGGGCAGAAAGAGGAAATGTTTTCGGTCTGCATTTTCTTGGCGAATTTGCAGATGTATCGAACCACAAATTCGATGGACGTGGGGATACTTCCGTGCGCGAGAGGGCTGGCTGGTCCCAGAATAGTGAAATAGTTCGGCATGTCAGCTGCAGCAAGAGAAAGGTAGGATTCTGGCTTATTCTTCCAGGCGGCCTGGAGATCGACATTGTCCCTGCCGATAATGGGGAAGCGGGGAGCAATCGAAAGCTCAAACCCTGTTGCGCAGATAATGGTTTCACTGTCATGGTGGTAGCCATTGTCCGTCCGGATCCCAGTCTGAGTAAATTCGGCGATGCTTCCGAAGACGATTTCAACCTTGTCCGACATCAAAGCTTCCAGGAAGCCGATTCCGGGGGTGGGACGGCGACACCTATTAAAATAATTAGCTCCCGTCCTCTTTCCACACATAGTATACCACTCACCCAACAGCGTAATCAGGCGTCAACAACTCCAGAAGCTCGGGCTTGGCAGCAAGTGCTTCTCGCAGGTTATCCAGACACGCCTGGCGGGCCTGCTTTTGCGCAGTCGAATTGTCCATGTACATGAAGAACCGCTCCGTCAAGTTCTTCTCAATAGCCTTGCGGTATGCCAGATATTCCTCAGGGTTTTCAGACCAGGTTCGTTTTTGCTCCTCGCTGTATTTTAGGGTTGTGCCCTTCGGACCAGCGAATTTCTCGGCCATCCGAGGTGTTACCCAGGTGGGGTTTCGGATGTGGTAGTAGATCTTCTTGACGTGAGGCAAAACCGCCGGCAGAACCTGAACACCGCTACTGCCATTGCCGATGATCGAGACGACCTTTCCTTCGATGCCTTTGTCTGCATCAGTAGGCCAGTAGGCCGTGTGCAACATCCGGCCCTGGAAGCCTTCGCGGCCCGGGATCTTGGGCCACTTCCAGTTGTTGAAAAACCCGCCGGCGTTCACGAAGATGTCGCATTCTTCCACCCACGACTCTCCGACTTGGCCTTCCGTAACTCCCTGGCTGGAAATCACCAGGTCTCTTCCGTCAGTCCTGACGACCTCCACCTGCCAGACCTGCCGGTCCTCATTCCACTTAGCACCGACAACCTTATGTGAAAGCTTGATGTATTGGCCAAGATTGTGCTGGTCGACAACATTCTTGAAATAGTCTCGAATTTCCGACTGGGGAGCGAAAAATGCGCTCCAGGTTGGGTTTGGCGCCCATGAGAACTTCGCACTGTCAGCAATGCCTCCCCTCCCACAGTGTCCCCTCTGATTCACAAACCTGGTAGATATGAGCTGGCACATCACACGCACATCTATAAGCTTGGTTAGAATATTTTCGCAACGCTTGCGCAAACGGGTTCATAAAACTCACCCTGGGTACCGGTTTTCCCACCATGTGCCTCCGACGCCAGCGTCTTTCTCAAAGACTGTCAAAGACGCTCCAGGAACCTGTCCGGCATGGATAGCTCTCGCCAGTGCAATGCCGCCAAATCCAGCACCCGCTGCGATAATCCGGAGCGGCCTGGGAGTCAACATGGGCACTCGGGACAGCGCATATGCCAACTCATCTCGCTCCCGATAAGCCACAGTAGCACCACTTGGTTCTGGCGGACCAGGCCTAAGGCCTTTGAAATACTCGGTAGCCTTTTGATGAGCTGAGAGGTGTGACATCTTGAAAGTAATCAAATCTGGGGACTCTGAAACGAAGGTTGAGAGCTGTCTAGGATCTCTATATAAGTAACAGCATGAAGGGTGCTGATGCGGGACCACGGCAAAAGGCTTCCCCGCACATTACAGTAAATGATACAGGGACACTAATCGCGTTGTACGCCAGTGATTTCTTGCATCTGCTTCACAGAGTGGGTTTTGGCGAGGGTGTTCGGGTACGCCCTGAGGGCGGGGAAATAACAAATACTTTCCGAGACTTCCAGGTCATTTTGGGGTTTCGGGGTTTCGGGACCGATTCGTAAGGGTCCTTGCACACAATGTGGCTTTGAGAACAACCGAGCCTTGTTTCTCCTCGGCAGCAGGATGCAGTCATCCGTTGGTGACCGAATATCGGTGTACGCATCTCAGGGGCAACTTGCTCAGAGAATTAGGTAGTTCGTTAACTACCCAATTGGGCATTGGATGACGAAAGGCCCTCGAACCAGGCACGTGACCAAACCAAGTGCGGGGCCCCGCATGGGATTTCCCCCAGTGCAGTTTCGCCGCAGTTTCGGACGGACTTTTCTCTGGCATATCATGCACGGAACAGAACATCATCTCTCTATATTCCCTTAATTAGTGCCCGATATGACATCTAATGCCCTTTCTGGTATCCCCGTCGGTCGCTTCTCATCATCCCTTGAGATGACTTCGCTGACCAAGCAAAAGGAAGAGGAACTGGCCGTGCTAAGAACACAGCAGCCTCGCAAAAAACGGAACAAGGTAGCCCTTGCCTGTGAAGAGTGTCGTGAGCGTAAAGTCCGCTGCGATGGCGTCCAACCTGTCTGCGGGACCTGCAGTCGACGGTACCACGGTCAGAAACTGTGTAACTATGGGAATGATATACCCAAGGCAGCTGTTGACAGGCAGTAAGCTGCCCACCATACCTGGTCGGCTGTACATGCTTACTGATGGACCGAGTGACAGCTACATTCGAACTTTGCATGATCGTATTCGTCACCTGGAAAATATTTGTCAAGTTCGAAGATCCCACATGACAAGCCAGCAGGAACTGGAACCGTCTGGGTCCGATCAGAGAGCATATTTCCCTAGGTGGGATGCAGAGAGCCGACATACCACTGATGACCCGATGCAGGTGTCGGTGCCTTCAGTCCAAGAGGGTAGAGCGGCGCCAGAGGTGGTAGCAGAGGCGGCTGCTGGTCCACAGGCAAATCCAGACTTCTTGACGACAAAACGTGCTGCTGAGACACAGGATGGCCATGAGAATCCCGTCAATGCCATGGGCACTGGATACATTGGCTATCGCCGCGTTGTGACCGACAACGAAGGATACTTTGGAAAGTCGTCCGCAGCCTCTTTTTTCAATCAGGTGCGGGAAGTGTTTTACCGTTGTACGGGTAAAAACCCAGGCCAATTTTGCCCAAGATCCCTTCGCAGTCAACCAAGAAAGGAGGGGCCATCGGTTTGCCTCGCCTTTGATGCAGAGAGCGCAGGGGATTATTCTCTACCACCTCGGGCAATTGCGGACAAGCTTCTCGATCTCTATCACCGACGTGTCTACGGCCTTTATCCATTTATACACTGGGAAACCCTGATGAATGGTTATAAACGGCTATGGACTGCTGAACCAGCGCCTTACGACGATTCACATGCGATCGGGCTAGGAGCACCGGACTGTCCTCAGCCGGTATTCTACTCAGCCTTGAACATGATGTTCGCTCTTGGACTGCAGTTTTCTGACGATCCATTCGAACAGCGGGAGGCCATGTCGAAGTTATTCTTCCGCCGCTCCAACCGCCTATGCCACATTGATATCCTTGACCGTGGGAGCCTGGCCATTGTACAGACCTTATTAATCATGGCACAATACCTGCAAAGTACTAATTTGCCCAATCGATGTTGGAACGTCGTTGGTCTAGCTTGTCGGATAGCCCAGGGCCTTGGGATGCATCTTCCAGAGGGGGATGAAATGCGATCCGAGCTTGTCCTCGAGATCAGGAGGCGGACATGGCATGAATGCGTATTGTTGGATACGTGGGTTATCCCTCTAACAGTTCAAGGAGAAAGAATAACTGACGAAAGAATTTTATGACTAGAGTGCTAAGCACCACGCTCGGCCGGCCCGCTACGATATCATACCAATATACAGTTCCCCTGCCCCGTCCAATTGATGATGAGTGCCTCACTCAGCGAGGTGCTGATGCTGCCCAACTGAGCAGAGGTTTCGCCAAGTCGTCCTTCTTTATCCAGGCGCTGAAGTTGAATGCAATTCTGAGCGATGTCTTGTCCAAGGCTTATAACCCGATTGACACAGCGCAAGAAAGGACGGATGATCTGGACGAGCGGGCATGGAGCCAACTAACCCAAACCATCATCGACATTGACGTGAAGCTCGCTAAATTTGAACGGGAACTTCCAGCACCATTTCGCTGGTCCGAAGTGCCTCCGGGTGCATTAGAGCCAGAGAATCTGGTCCAGCTTCAACGGAATGTTCTGGGAGAACGGTTCGTCTATCTGCCCGTCGGTGTTAATGCCTGAACTAACAAGCGTAGCTTTTTCCTTATACGTGTTCTTCTCTATCGGCCGGTTCTAATCCGTCTCTGTGACATCGAACTCGCCAGTATTGGGTCCAGCAGAACTCCGACCCGTGGTATGGAACCCGGTCTGGACTTCATCTCGAGATTTAAGCGGCAGTGCTCGGCGGCCTGTATCGAGTCTGCACGAAGTTTAATTTGCCTAGTCAACGTGACTGCAAGTGCTCTGAGCACCGGCGCCGGAGCATGGTGGTACAACCTCTACTGTACAGTTTCCCCCTCTTGTACTTGCTGGATCTAGCCTGACTTGTTATATTATTCAGACACATTCACCTCCGCCATGGTTCTGGTTTTGTGTGACCTTTGTCCGTCTATTCGGGATATGCTTGATAGGGAGGGCTTGGATCGAGCGTGGCAGCAGTGCCAGGATATTTTGGCTCTAATGAAACGCAGCACCACTGCTCTTGAATCCTTCAAAGTTCTGCAGAAAATGCGGACTTCAATTCGAGCAGACCAGTCAGGTTCGTATCGATGTCGAATTGAACTTGGCATTGAATTAACACTGAGAATGCAGGGATGAATGCTGCAGATATCAACAGAAGCAGTGCGCCCGGGCCAATTGGCCGTGGCAACCAGGAATCTGTGAATCTGAATACCAGCTCTATGTCTTGCGAACCGACTGCGGACTTAAATGATGGCGTTGATCTAGGATTTGAGGAGGCTGGGTGGACGAACATGCTATGGGAGGATTTTTGGACTTTTGCGAGTGGCCAGCCGCTGACTTGGGACGGTGAGTGACTTCATCAGTCCCAGGTATGATTCGAAGCTTGCATCCCGTACATTTCACGTATGACCCTTATGTGCCTACAAATTTCTCAGGAATGACATTGTCATTCCGACATGATGTTTCAAGAAAGTAATATGCATCCTATACTTATATGTAGTATACGTGTGCGTAGAATAAGACAATATAGCAACTGGGGCATTCGATTTTATTTGATGGAGACCAGTCAGACCATGTCATCGTTTGTGAGAGCGTGTATGTGTGTGTGTGTTATTAGGGGGCCTGAGGCCGCCCGACTGTCTAATGGTAGCCGACTAAGCACGGTTGTCCCCAGCACGTGACCCAGGACGGACTAGTGCTCCAACATTGTTGAATTTTGGACCGGGGCCCTCCAACAACAACCTGACAAGTTTTGGCCCCGGTCTCGGACTATACCCCATGTATACACTCCAACTGTATGTATGATTCGTAACACAGCGGTCTCAGGTAAGCCATGTGCCCATCGGGTCTTGGTTCGGGAAATGAATGCGGGGATCCCGTTATGCGGGGAACATCCGAGCCTCGGGGACAAGAAAATAGGGCTGACGAAGCTGATCACTGGGCGATGCTACCCCATACTTTTCAGCCATTGAATTGGTCGCGAATAAATAGCATGGGGATAGGAAAGACAAGATACGCAACCGACTTCAAGGGCGAACGTCGTTCGTCGATCCTCAACTATCGCGACATTCAACAACGGTCGGCCACACAACCAAACGATGGGACAGCGGCAAGAAGACAATGGTTCCCAGCCTCAGCTGAATGGACTTCAGAGCAATGGGCACCCATCCCAAGAGTCTTGCTGGACCATCGATGAACTCCTACGAACCAAAGCCGCCGGTGACCCAGACCAGCAGGTCGTGTTCTACCCAAAAGCCGGGATTGACTACATTGGGTACACTGCATCCCAACTTGATACGTTCGCTTTTCGAGCGGCCACAGAATACCTGCCTGAGATCAAAGCTAGACAGTCCTCCAACGAAGCGCCGACTGTGGTAGCATTGCTAGGAGTGTCGAACTTGGATTACATTGTCACACTATTGGCTATAAGTAAGCTGGGCCATACGATCTTACTGCTCTCGCCACGCTTGACAAAAGAGGCATATACTCGACTCCTGCAAGACACCGGCGCAAAATTCGTGGTCTGCCAACCAGAACATCGCGAAAAAGTTGAAGACATTCCAGGGACCACAATCATACCAATCTCCACCCAAGATGGTTATGGCAACCCGACACCCACACAGGAGAGTACGAACCTGACACCAGGCCTCGACTTGACCGTGGAAAGTACAAACCCGATATGGATCTTTCATTCGAGCGGCTCTACCGGCCTCCCGAAACCAGTCCCTTTGACGCAGCGGGGAGCGTTGGCAAATTACCAGCGGAATATCGAGAAGCTGACCCTGCGGTGTTTCTCGACTTTGCCGCTATTTCATACCCATGGAATGGGAAGTCTTTTCCGTGCCATTATCACCGGCCGGCCGGTTTATTTCTACAACGTTTCGCTGCCTTTGACAAAGGACTATCTGATCGAATCCCTGGAGAGACACCACTTCGAACTCTTCTCGGTTGTCCCATACGCTCTTAAGCTTCTCTCAGAGCCTTCCAAGGGAATCGAGCTTTTGAAAAAGCTGCAGTTGGTTACTTTTGGAGGATCGCCGTGTCCCGACTCTCTGGGAAATATGTTGGCTGAGGCTGGGGTCCACTTGGTCAGCGTCTATGGGATGTAGGTGTACCCCTTGCCCTATGCAGACCGGAAAACCGTATCAATGCATATTACTGCGTCCTCGTCAGGGGTTTCAAATACATCAGCTGACAACTTAACAACAGGAGCGAAACGGGGCCTTTGATGATGTCTACTCGACCTCGAAGCGACAAAACCTGGAACTACCTGCGTCCGACGGCCGAAGCGAAACCATATCTTACTTTTGAGCCCCGAGAGAAAGGTACTTATGAGTTGGTTTGCCTACCTGGATTACCATCGAAGTCCATGTCCAATCGCGATGATGGCTCGTATGCGACTAAGGACCTCTTTGTCAAGCATCCCTCCCTAGAGGCATGGAAGTATTGCGGCCGCAATGACGATATTGTGGTCCTAGAGAACGGAGAAAAAGTCAACCCAGTCGATATCGAAGGGGCGGTGACGCGACACGAGCTAGTCAATGCTGCAGTCGTCTTCGGAACTGGCAAGCCGTACCCAGGCATGCTAGTGATTCCTTCGTCCGCGGCCGGCGACATTGCAGCGAAAAACCTCCTCGACCTTGTCTGGCCCACGATTGAAGCTGCCCAGGTTATGACTCCTGACTATGCAAAAATGAGTCGGGACATGGTGATTATTCTTCCTCCCAATACTCCCTATCCCAAGACCGACAAGGACTCGGTGATTAGGAAAAGGTTCTACGTGCGGTTCAGCAAAGAGATCGATGACTACTATTCCACCGAGACAGCCGGAACGGTGGTTTCTTTGAACAAGGATGAAATCCTCTCCTTGGTTCGTACTGGAGCCGAAGCAATCCTCAGCCCCCGCCAGGTTTCCGATGATGCCGACTTTTTTGCACTGGGCATGAACTCACTTCAGGCCGCTCAACTGCGAAACTTCATACTGAAGAAGGTTGGAGGACCGGCTTTGGGTCTCAATGTTGTCTTTGAGCATCCGTCGGTTCGCTCTTTGGCAGAATACATGAGCTCGGACTCTCAGGACCCTCAGAGTGCATCCCTGCCGGACAACAACAAAATCAACCAGATGATCGAAAAATACAGTCAATTTGCACAACACCAGCCGCGTCCTAGAACTTCTGAGTCCCAGGGCCAGTATGCTGTAAGAATCCCCCTAAAACTGCTAATATGAGTCTTCCCTTGCTAAAGTCGTTCCTTGCAGGTTTTGACCGGGAGTACCGGGTCCTTAGGAGCACATCTCCTGAGAACCCTGATCTTGGACCCCCAGGTGCGAATGGGATATTGTTTGGTTAGGGCCGCTTCTGTCACAGACGCTCGCCACCGTGTGTTCCGCTCCCTGCATACCCGAAAGCTCTATTTCAATATTCCCAGTGCAGTTCGAAAGAAGATTGTCTGTGTCCCCACAGATTTCTCCAGTCCCTCACTTGGGCTTTCTCCCGAGCTATATGACCGAATTGTTCGCCAATTGACCGTTGTCTACCACTGTGCATGGGCTGTAAACTTCAACTTGCGGCTCGAGAGTCTCGAACGAGACTGCATTGCCGGAGTGAAAAATCTCATTGACCTCTGCCTCAGCGCCCATGGGCCCCACCCCGCCACGTTTAGTTTCCTATCGTCGATAGGAACCGTTCTCCGGGCCAAGGATAAGACTGTGCCAGAATCGTTGCCCACAAGTCCGTCCAATTCACAGCCAACTGGCTATGCACTGTCCAAGTTTGTGGCTGAGCATGTATGTATGAACGCTGCTGCCCGGGTGGGGATCCCCGTCTATATCAACCGAATTGGGCAAATTGTGGGGGACACGGTGTATGGCATCTGGAACAGTTCAGAAGCAATTCCCCTTCTGATGCAGTCCGCGACTACCATTCATTCGCTGCCAAGCTTCGACGAAATGGTGCGCTGGCTGCCTGTCGATGTGGTTGCTAAGATCGTGATGGAAATCACCACGTCTGGCGCTGCCTCAGGCGTGTTCAACATTGTCAATCCTCATGGAGTCAGTTGGACCCATGACATCGTCCCATATCTCCGCCAGGCGGGCCTGGACTTCGAGTTGGTTGACCCACCTACATGGCTGAAACGCCTACAAGAAGCCAGCAACCCAGAGAAAAACCCTCCGGTCAAGCTCTTCGAATATTTCAAGCGTCAATTCAGCAATGTGGAACCCCGACGTGCTGTTGTGTTTGAGACAGAGAAATCTCTCCGGTGGTCTAGGACGTTCGCGGCTACCCAAGCACCTGATCAGGTCCTGGTGGCGAAGATGGTTCAACAATTTATTGTCACAGCGTGGACTTCGTCCAAAGCGAAGGCACCCTGTCGATCTGTTGTAGCCTTCAGTGGTTCCGTTCCAAGTTCGCTTGGTGGGGCCGAACTGGACGCTCTGGAATTGGTGGTCACATTGATTTCCATGCAACTGGGTATTCCGGTCCTGGATTCGAAATCGGCAGGCTTCGGTCCAGAAATAAATGGGACTGGTCACTTGGACTTGCACGGCGATAAAGGTCCCGAGCACGGCCCAATCCTCACCATCGTGGACAGGGATCATATCCGAGACCTATCGTCTGGCCGGACGAGATTTTTAGTCCTACCAAATCCGACCGAGTCAAGCTCAGCAACTGAGGGCAACATGGGTGACGAAACAATCGACATAATACCTCTGACAGCGACAAAGAGCTCAAAGGACTTGGTTGAGGAAGCTACATTTTGGATACGAGACTTTTTGGAACAGGGAAAGAGTGCAGCCGTCTGAGAGTGTGACATGGGTGTCTACAGATTGTGAGAATGATAGCAATCAATGTCTCTGTTTAGATATAGCTCCAATTCCATGTAATGGAAACCAATGATCCTTGAGACTGTTGAAGTCCAAATACGCTGGCAGAAGATGGCCGGTCTGAAAGACTCCAGAAAATGTTGGATTGAGGGAGTGCTCATAATACGCATGACACCCTCATTCGCCGGACCATACAATATTGGCAGAAATGGAACTGGGGGAGCAAGACAACGAACCGAGAGAGCGTGGGAGGGTTATCTGGAACAAAAAAGCCAATGAGGGCGTTAATTGGTGCTATCTCAATCGTCCTGAGGAAGGAAAACCTATCAAGCGGTGGGTCGCTGGACACAAGGCATCAAATAGTCATATCACTATACAGCGCTCTGTTCATACATCGGTCTTCCTTCGGTAGTATCGGCCATTTCATCTTATGACCTTGGCGGTTGAGAATCCTACTCTTGAAAGTTACGAGTACCATATCAACATGTCATCCGCATCTCTGCCGCAGGCGAACGCAAGAAACACACTGTTCTGATTCAGGCTGAACCCAGGGTCCCCCTAGCACGAACTCGCTACAGACCTTGAAAATAAATGCTGGATCTGACAGGCTTCAGAATATTAGATCATCCTTCAGTATTGCCTAGCGGCGTGGCGTGAGAGAGGTCAACGATTTAGTCCCCTCGTGATCTTTCGCCACGAATGTGAATGACTACAATAGGAGCCACGGCAACGACAACGAGAAGGCCAACTAGCAAGCCAGAGCCACCAATTAAGCCTAAACTTTCATAGATGGGAGGAAAGTAGAAAGGACCAATCTAGTTTGAGTCAGTCTGCCTTGTCCTGATGGGCATGCCACAATTGCAGGGAGAAGGGTGCCTTACAAAAGCCCAGGTCTGTCGAATAATATTCACGAAAATACCGATGTGAGCTGACAGATCTTCATGGGAATCGACCGCGTAGGTGATCAATGTCGTTCCGACGATCTGAGATCCGAAGTTAGAGATCGCCGCACCAACCAGTGGTGTGATATTCCATTCGTGCTATAAACATCTAGTCAACACGGGCACAATTCGTCGATAGACGAGTTAGTTGCAGTCTTACCTCCATCTTATCTAGCTGAACGCCCCAGACCATAATCCCCGCTATGGAGGTGATAAACCCGATATAGGCGATCCACAGCCGATGTTCCGGACAGTGGCGACCCGTCTTTTTCGTGTACTTGGTCAAAAACATGTCGGAAATCGGGCCACTGACTTGTTCTCCTAGGCCCGCGCCGACCAGGACTGATAAATATTGCAAACCCACTTGCTGGGTATTGAAATGCAACTTCTCCTCGAAGAGTTGCGGTAGCTCGACCGTGATCGCGGTGTTGGCATAGGTAAAAAAGAAACCATACGAGACCGCTGGCAGAAGGACCAGAGGACGAGCGAAAAGGTTAAACGGCCGGAGGAATTTGGAAATCGTGAGGGCATTCCGGGAGGAGACAGCGGATGGGTGTTGAGCTGCAATCGCCGGGTCCAGTTCGTCCCTGCCGTCATAGAGAGTTTCGGCCCTGAGGGCCAAATAGGCCAGAAATTGGACAGCATTCGCGCCGGCCAGAATCCAGAACAGCAACGGGAGTCCAGCATGTTCAACCACAAACCCGAACACAATGGGACCGAGCGGGATCCCGAGCGTGATCATAAGAGTCCACCACCCCATCTTCTGCGCCCGCTCATGGGTAAAGAAGAGCTCCGTCACGACAGCGCTTCCAAACCCCAGTGGAGGGCAAGCAAAGATGGAAAACAAGACACGTGTGGCCATTTGTGCGCCATACGATTCGCAAAAGCCGCCAGCTATATTGAACACACACATCATGAATGTGGACAGCAGATAGATGGGCTGGCGGCCAAATCGCTCGGCCAGGGGATTCCACAAGAGAGGAAAGATGCCGAGGAAGAGAATCTATGATGTCTGTCAGATCATCTTTGGCTCAATTGCCACCCGCGAGAGCTTTATACCTGCACGGAAGTCAAGTAAGATGCCTTCTCGATCGACACGCCGTACTCTTCGGCGATCACAGCAAAGGCTGAAATAAGAGATGCAGCGGCAAAGGTGTTCATGAAAGCGTGCACCACGACCAAGAACATTTGGGCCAATTTCTTCCATCGTGGCCAGTTGAGCGGATCATTGGGTGACATGGAAGGAATTGGCTCCAAGTTTAGGGTGCCATGTCTCTCGAGGAGAAACTGTTGATGAGCTTGACTGAGCATGCTTGGAGAGACTTCCTCCACATGAGAAAACTGAATATTCTCTTTATTCGTACCAGTATCCATTGCAGACATTGTGATATATTATGAGAAGAGAATTTAGAGGTGATCTGATGTAAAAGACTTTGGCCCCGTATTTTTATAGTGTACATGGAAAGTTTGCCAAGTGCCAAGGAACTTGGTGAATGGGAAGGGTCCTTTACCCTCCCGAAACCCCGCGTACCTGGTAAATAATGGAGTCAATACACATAGCTCCTGGATTGGCGTGAATCTGCAGTGGGGAACGTGACATAGCGTAGTAGGCTCATAGCAATTCCAGCTCCTGTTCAAATGAAATAATTGTGACGGGCGTCCGTCTTGTAAATCCAGGTTAACCTGCATCTGAATCCATCCAATGTGGCCCTCTCTCAGTCACTAATTGTTAATCAATTTTTAACCAAATGATCATATGTCCGAGGATCCTGCTCCCCGCAATGCGCCCAGACCTTGGGGACTCTGACGTGGATGTCGGGTTTCTTTATCACCCAAATTACGAGAAGAGACCAATTGCCTGGGATCTATCTACATGTATTATAGAATTGTTATCAGCCGGGCGATGACCGAAACACCTGAAACCATTAATTGAAACACCCCCGGTATTTTACCCCGCAAATCCACCGTGGGTGTCGATAAACTGTGCCGGGTTTCCGGGTTCCCATGTGGGGCCCTGCAAGTACGGTAAATTGACCCGCAATGAATTGCAAGACATAACTCCAGCCTTTAGCTGTGGACGCGCTTGTACTTGTGTCAATAATTGCGGGTTATCTCGGCATTCACTTGAGTTGACTGCATCGTCAGTGCGGCATCAGCTGCGTCTCCAACTTTTCCCCGAATTGCGTCAACACTATAAAAAAGGTTCCCACTGCTCCGCGAACTACGCTCTTGATAGAAGACGCAAGTTTCAGGATGACGTCCGCAGATACCGTTCCTTGTACCCAAGTTGCTGCTTTTGTTGACAACCCCGGCCCCAATGCACATTTCGTCATCCGTGACGGGGTGGCCGTTCCGGAAGTGGAGGCGGATCAAGTCATGGTGAAGCTCGACGTGGCAGGGCTGTGGTATGTCTAGTCTTTCCAGATCACCCTCTAAAGCAGAGAATACTGGGAATGAGTGAAAGCCTTGTGGGTAAAGCTGACTTTCTCAAGCCATTCCGATCTCAACCGGCTCTACGGGCATACGCCATTGATTGAGGAAATTCTGGGGCATGAAGGGGTTGGTTACGTCGTCAAAGGTATGATTATTGGCCATTCTGCGAGTACCCTGGTCGCGTGAAATGCATGTTTGCTGGGCAGGGTAAACGCTGAGAACACTTCCAGTTGGATCGGATGTTCCTGGGGACCTGTTGAATCAGCGAGTCGGGCTGGGGTGGCTCAGCGAAGCATGTCAGAACTGCGAAATATGCGATGTGGACTACACAGTGTGTCCAAAACAGAAAAATTTAGGACGTGTAGGTGGCTTTTAGCGTGATAGCGTCTCTCAGGACACTACTGACGTTGAGAAACCCTCCAGAATATTTCGGGATGCTTTCAGCGTAAGGCTGTTGTACAAACCCGTTTCTTCCTGCCCTGACTCTGGTTGTAGAATATGTTGCCGCCAATGCGGCCTTTGTCCATCGCCTGCCGGATGAACTTGACGACACCGTTGCTGCTCCATTGCTGTGTGGTAAGATGAAGCACCCCATGCCATACCCACCAATTTACGGCAAGCTCAGCTTGTACGACTAGATCATCTCTCAAGACTGACATGGTATCCTCGCCACGGTTTACAGCAGGGATCACAATGTTCTCGGCTGTCCGTAAAGCCAACTTGAAGCCAGGTGAATGGCTTTTGCTCCCTGGTGCTGGTGGCGGACTGGGACATTTGTTCGTGATTTGCTCTCTTGCTTACACCGTACCACACCGTCGTTCTCCAGCTGTATACTAACAATTATTTCTGACAGAGGGGTCCAGATCGCCAAGACCCAAGGATATCGTGTGATTGCGGTCGATACGTAAGGCACATCCTTCTTCCCTTTAGGTGAGCTTACATTAGAGTTGACCCGCTGCAGCGGCGAGGATAAGAGAGCGGCCTGCATGCGTTTTGGAGCAACCCACTTCTTGGATTTCAAGACCGATAATGTAAGCTCTTTCTCCCTTTACACAGTGGTCACACTAGAGAGCTCACTGTCTGTCACAGGTCACCGCAGAGGCGCACAGATTGACCAATAACCTAGGAGCCAACGCCGTGATCTGCACAGCTGGCTCTCTCTGGGCTTACAAGCAAGCCACTGAGTGTGTCCGCAATGCAGGCACTATTGTCTGCGTCGGGATCAATCCTAGCGATTTACCCATCTCGCCGTTTGAGTTGGTCCGCAGAGGTAAGAAGCACTCCTGCTATTGGGAGAGATTTGGTGTAACCCTTTTTGATGGCAGGTCTCCGGTTGATTGGAAGCTCCGTGGGGTCCCGGGCGCAGATGCAGGATTTATTCAAGTTGGCTGTGGAAGGAAACGTCTGTCCCCTGGTGGAGGAGATCTCTTTTGACCAGATTGATGCAGCGGCAAGGAGAATCAATGATGGCCAGGTTACTGGCAGGATTGTCATGCGCCTCCCGAACTGAATGTGATATCAGGTCGGGTTTAGTGGGCAAGCTGGACATGTTTGACTGTGACATTCCTGAATTATTCCGCACGCATGAAAGTCTCTCGTAGGATATTTTATGAAGAAAGAGGAAAGCGGACTCAACACGCAGGCCAGCCCGAACGCGCCAGGGCTGGTGATGCGGGCTCATACCGCGCTCGTAATCGACCAAAATAAGCAACGCCCCGGCAGCTGAGGTTGAAAGGTCGCTGGCTCTCGAGCAGCAAATTGAAAAACTCGAGGAGGTAGTTAGCAAAAAGAATCCTTAATCGTACACCACTTTAAGGAACGAGTCAGGGGCTAGAAGAAATACATAGCTTTGGAGACTGCAATGTTGTAGCAATTACGCGGATATATATAGAGAATAGGATTTTTGGAAGTTTTTGTGAAAAATAGAAAGTTCTTTCATCTTCGTTTGTTCGCTCTATGCTTTTGAAGTTACTTTGCTTCGTACCTTGACTCAGCAAATAGAGACATTTTACTGAGACAACATTTGTGGATTTATTTCTTTCAGTGTGGTCAGGGGTTTGACAAGAAAAGCTTGGAATCAAAGCACCTCGATCAGGAATTCAGCGACATGACTCCATCCTTCCCTTGCTACCTCAACTTCTAATGGTAGAGCCATAAACCTATGAAAACCGCCCGGAACAAGCTTCAATATCCCACTGCCACCAGCCTGCAGCCATTTAACGCACATCATGATGCTATCATCCACAAGGGTCTCGACCGTACCTGACAAAAATAGGGCTGGTGGCAAGCGGCCCCGAAATTCTTCCAGGTTGACATAGAAAGGAGCTACGTCAGGGCGTTGGAGGTCCATGGTGCTGCGGCCGGGCAAGTAATAGGAGGTGTAACGCTCTCTGGTTTGGGCATCGACCATGTGTGGTTGCTGCACATGTTGCACAGCGGGAAGTCCTGAGGGAGCGAAGTCTCCAAAGAACAGGACGAGAGCCTTCAGGTAGAAATCGCGGAATTTGCGGAGAAGGTGGAATGTGGTTTGTAGAGTGAGTCCACCTCCCACAGACTGTTACCACGCAAGAGAAAGGTTAGGTGATTGGATCTAATGCGAGGGAGTTATTGGCACAGGATGACATACATCACCTGCGATAACGAAGAATGGAGCACCAAACTGTTGTTGAGCGTGTCTGACTAGATACACGGCAACATCGCAGCAGTCTTCTAATGCAGCTGGGAAGACATGCTCCGGTGCTCGCCTGTAGCCAACTGAGATAATAGTATAGTCTGTCAATTGAACATAGCGCTGTAGAGTTGGATCTGAGCTATTTGTTGGAGATCATTTTCAGTTTATTAACGTTAATTAAATCTTGAGCCAAATTAATCTACTCACGTCTTTTCGGTATTTAAAGAATACCCACCACCATGGATATGGAGCAGAACACCCTTAGCTGGACTCTTGGTATTCCGAAACGCACGACAGGGGATTTGTCGTTCCAGGTCGCGGGATGGTATTAAGATGTCTTCTCCACCTGGCAAATTGACAGCAGCTTTCTCGGACGCCTCGCGGAACGCGGGAATAGTTTCCTGACGTGACTTTCTGTCAGTATAAGACCCTGATATTAAATAAGACGTCATCACAGACCTTGGACAATGCCGGCTTCCCCTTGCTTGATTCATGAAGTTGGTGCAGATACTCCAGTCTAGAGCCGGAAATAGCATTTGGCGCAAATTTAGACGCATCGAGGCAGACATCGGACTTCATGATTCTAGTATTGCAATTCCAGTGGCTGTTTTGCACATCAGGCTGGTGCGGGCTGGGGCAGTATTAGAGGTCCTTAAGTCTCATCTGTTCTTGAAGGATGCTAGAGCCGTTATTTCCGCTATACAGCGGCCTCATATCCGGTAATTTTACACCAGGAAAACATTTGAGCAGTTTGTCGGGCTTGTCCATTGGTCTCGGAATGTTAGACCGAGATGGAGGATTTCAAGCCCCGAAACATACAGCTTGTAGGACCTCCCGGGGAACATAGGTATACCCAACAGTTTGGTGGATACGCGCGGTCGGCGTCGGGTGTGTTTCGGTATAGAATCTGGTTCGCATAAGCCTCAATCATCTTTGGTGTAGTGGAACTGTCATATTTATCAAGCCCCTAGATCCAGCGAATCACGGCAGCTTCTTAGGAGTTTTCGAGGACTTTGTGTGATGCTGTACGAGCGGTTCGCTGTAAGTCGATGCCGGGAGACGCCATCCTCGCGCGCTAACGCAGAGATATTAGGTTTTTCGACCCGTTGACTGCTGCTCAGGCACCACGAAGCCGGTATTCAGGCGTTTTGGGTGATTCAGACATATTGGGGGCTGTTGGTAAAGGAAAGGCTCAAAAATTGAGCGTTACTGTGAGATGGATGGACGTATAGGTGAGACCCACCTACAGCAAAGAGCAGTTTAGGTGGGGATGACCACGGCTACATAGATAAGCCGTTCTCTCTTAAAGTTGGTTATGTATTTGACTGACTTAGTTAAGCCAGTTAATTAACTAGTTATTTAACTAAATTATTGTGTGACTTTCAGGTAGTTAGTAATATGATCTTGTATCACGTCCTCACAGCACCGTCCCCCTCAATGCTGTCTACTTTTCTTTTAGCTTACTGCTTTCGTATCAAATGCACTCTCTATGAAGATGAGGTGTATGACATTAATGTATGGATGTTTCAGGACACAATGGCTATCGCGCTCATGTTGATGTGCCAGGGAAAACTGCAAACTGATCGGCAAATAATATTGTACATGCGCCCAGCTTCTGCACTGCACTATTTACCCCGCATTTAAAACAACTCTTTAGGTCAGTTGCTCTTAGTATTTATAAATGAGTTGCGTTGAATGATTTTAATATTGTTTTGTTGCCCTCTGATTTCTATCCTTCCATCAAGATTCACCATGGTCTTCCCTCGATCTAAAAGGCGAAGATTGCCCTCTCGACAAGCTTGTATGAATTGTCGCACAAGAAAACATCGCTGCGATGGTGTGCGACCTCAATGTGGAGATTGTCGAAGCCGGGAGACCTTTTGCCAGTATTCGGATGAAGCAAACGATCTAGACAGTCGAGTTGAAATATATCGCCGGTCTGGGGAATCTGCAGGTTCCATCAATCACCACCGGGAAACCTCGAAGACTTCGTCGGGCGCGGATGAATATCCTCGTACCTTACCTCCACCAGCGTCCTCCACTTATAACACCTGCACCCTGCCGCCAAGTGAAGATCCGAATGTGTCAGGCTTGGCTGCAACCACCCTAGCGCCAACAGCTCCATTAAAAGAGAATGCTGAGCTCCGAGGTTTTTTTGGAGAATCGTCGACAATCGCGTTTGTCTCAAACATACTAGGCAGTCCCCAACACAGCCCTGGTGTTCACCTGCCGAAGAGCGACCTAAAACATGGAATTTCTGCCTTGCAGATGTCATCCACATGCGAAATTTATAATAAGGCCCACTTGGACAAAAGTTCACTTACTTTCCACATCCCTGACCGGCACATCGCGGACGGAATGGTGGACGCTTATTTTGAACGTTTCCATCCCCTCTACCCTTTCCTTCACGAAGGAACTTTCAGAGCCGAGTACGAAAGGATGTGGAGTTCGGCATCGGATAGCCCTTTGCGATGCTCGTGGTACGCTCTTTTAAATATTGTGTTTGCGCATGGCTGCGAATTCTGCGATCTCGTTCCCAAGCACAGGCTCCCGGGTATCGTTCGCCCTTTCGTCGACCGGTCCCGGGAAACCACTTTGTCCCACATCTATCAGCAAAGTAATTTGGAGTTTGTTCAAGTCCTGCTTTTACTTTCCCATTATCTTCAGGGTACGTTGGAACTCAATGAATGCTGGAACCTGGTTGGCTTGATGATTCGGACTGCCGTTAGCATTGGCCTCCAGTTGAATGCCGACGGTCTAGAACTCACGGCATTGGAAAAGGAGGTTCGAAAAAGAGTCTGGTGGGGGTGCTTCATCATTGACCAGACTCTTAGCATGAAGCTTGGCCGCCCAAGGGCACTCCAGCTGGCGGATGCGGAGGATGTTCCCTGTCCTTCGCTAATCGATGATCAATACATTCACGACAGATCATCCGTCGCTCGACAGCCTGCGGGCTGTCCTTCGACAATCGCGTTCTTTCGACATACTATCGAGCTATCAAAGATCATAGAGAGAGTTCTCTATCATTTGTACACAGCAAAGAGTGTGAGAGCGAGATCTGCTGCGGATCCTTACGAATCACCAATCCCAGAACAGCACCTCATCCTCAGTACGGTCGTCCGTCTTGACGGGGAACTCCAAGCTTGGTGGACTGATGTACCTGTGCACCTCTTAGAAGACACAGATGCGATGGAGGGACGGGTCTTTCGACGTCAACAGGCTGTCATGAGGATTAGGTAGGCTGAGATTACGTTTAGGAAGGGAACGTTTCTATGGAGCCTAACATGTTTTAGATACCTTCAAATCCGACTACTTATTCACCGACCTCTGCTTCTCCTTTTCACCCGGCAAGATATTGGGGATGCCTTTCTACGAGAAGCTACGATAGCTGGTTCGAAAGCTTGCATCGATGCGGCGTGTCAGACTGTGGGCTTAATATACGCTCAATATGATAATCAGCTACTCCACTCTCTCAGATACAACCTCCATTGTAAGTTTTGATGAGATCTTCTCTGCTTTGGGATTGCAAAACTAACAGAGCTGCATTAGATGTTTTTACGTCGATGGGGGTATTACTTCACGTACAGAACATGGACAGACTAAGGTGCGTACTGGCGAATGGTGATGCGGACACCAAAAGAATTGAATACAGTTCAGAGCAAGGCATGGAGTTCCTCAAATCTGCGAGTCGAACGAGCAACTTGGCGTCTAAATACGTATCAATTCTTGGACGCACAGCAGCCGAGACAAGACAGACAGTAAATCCAGCGGATGATGGGCGACAGAATTATGCTGGTTGTCCTCTGTCGCCGCAGGCGTCTTATGAATGTGAAAGGCAACCGTGCAGTTTCAGTGAGACATCCCAAATGCCACTGAATTTTTCAGAGGCAGACAATATACTGAATTATGAAACCTTTGACCTTGGTGATTGGTTATCCGGCGATGCGTTACTCGAGAGTTCCTTCCGCTCAGATCAGTTCTCGGCAACATTTATACTATGATTATCGAGCCACCGGTTCTTTTAATGGCAGCTGCCTCGTTTTGGCCGCCTCCATTCGTTCCGATGCAAGATAGAAACACTTTATTATCCTCTTCTTCATACTGGGGACAGATCGTTCTTATTATTATGTTGTTACAGCTGCCAAGAGCCGTCCAACCTGAATTGGCCATAATAGGTGATACTCGCTGCCAAAGCGTGCACATACCCACTCAAGTCTCCCTGTTATCTTGCACTGCAAGCGATGTGTTCGGTTCCCAATTCCCCCTTCGCTACCCAGATCTGAGGCCCTACAGAAGTACATAATTAAAGGTTGTCTATCATATTTGTCGGTAAATAGGTCGCCGATCTCATTCTCCGGCTTTGTGTATTCACGCGATAGTATATGTAGTTGATCCATTTATGATTTCACTGCGAGATCATTATTGCTACAGAGAGAGAGGGGAGAGCAACACACTTGTGAGACATATGAAAATGTAGTAGATCGAATGATCTTAAACGGACATATTCGAAGAGTAGACATATTCATAGGCCTCTGTCGAAGTCGGGAGATGCCAATTTCCGTCTCCATGTAGGACCTTTCCACATCAGAAGAAGAATACCAGAAAACGAAGCAAAGTTAATTGCTGCAATGACTCCCCAGGCGATTCCGAAGGTTGTGCTTGAAGCAAAAGGAAGCTGGGTTGGAAGTTAGTTGTCATCATGTTGCGATAAGGAGGATCATTTACCATGTAAAATCCAAGAGTGAAAGAAAACAATAAACGACCAAAGTTAAGGAGTGTAGAGAGCTCAGTTGACTGTGGCTTGTAGCAATCGGTGAGATAGGCGAAAATCGGTGTAGAGACGATCTGAAGCCCGAAAGCTGCAATGCCGATGCCCATCATAGGTCCCGCCCAATGAGTTTTATATTGCAAACAAACGCCCTCTATGACGACACCGACAGGAAGAAGAAATGCCCCAGGCAAAGTTGCTCGGAGCCTTGATTCAGAATCTGCTGAGCCACCATGACGGCGGTTAGCATGGCGAAGAGCTCTGTCGCTGATTGATCCAGCCATGAATTCTCCGAGAATAGAACCAATCGTTGTGGGTAGACCAATGGCCAGACCAACCTGAATGGTGTTAAACCCGTAGGAGTGCTCAAATGTTGCAGCTCCGGTGACAGCAAACAGAACTGTACCTGCGCCAAATGCAATACTGTAATAGAGTGTGCACAAAAGCACCGATGGATATTTCAACATAATGAAGCAATGAGTAAAGTCCCGAAATTTGAGCTTCCCTGTGATTGGGGCTTGTTTGAGCGTAAGGAGCTGGACCCAGGATTTTGTTCTGGTGTAAGAGGCGCCTGTTGCTGGATCTCGGAGATATAGAGTCTCTGGCAGGAAGAAGATATTGAAAATCCAAGTCGCCCCAAGAGTGATTGTTGGGACCCAGTAACACCAACGCCAGCCAAGATCATCGGCTACAAGGCCGCCAATGATTGCTGCAAGGTGTGCTCCATTGGTAACACTGTCCTATCATTAGCTTAGAACCATGCTCGCCTTCGTGACCTTCGTGACTTACAAGACCACGTATATCCCCATGTACCTGGCAAAAGTGAGCACAGAAGGAACTTAATTGTACAAGGGCACTTACAATCCCCGCTCATGCATAAAATACAGATCTGCAACAATTGATGCACCAACTCCCATGCCAACCGATGTGCCAATTCCCACAAAAGCGCGTGCAACCAAAAGGTAACTCCACGAGTGACAGACAGCACAGGCAGCGTTGGCAGCCGTCCCGATTGCAGTACTCACCAAATAGACAGGTCGACGTCCGTAGACGTTTGATAGCGGAGCGTATATCAGGGGAGTAAACCCGGCAAATAGGATGGCGATTGTTGTTGTATAAGAGGCCTCAGTGACCGAGACTCCAAGATCCAGAGCAAGTGGGACGAAAGCAGCATTCTTACGAAGAGAAAACACGATTAGCATTGCCCAAGCTGAAGTGATGTCCGATAAAGCGACGGATATCACCCACAATGGTGCCCTGGGAAAATGGACCGAGGAACCCGAGAAAGGCGACCTGAAGGAGCACGAGGAGCTTCATATAAAACGACCAGTTCAAGGGGTCTTTTTCTCTTTGTCAATACACACAAATGCGTGAAGGGACTTATCAAAAGAGAGCGGTGTCCTCACCTAGAGGATCATCAGAGGGTTGTGGGCGCAATGGATAACCCTGGCTATCGAGCCGCAACGTTCCACTATCCTCAGGGGCATATTCATCCATTTCAGCAACTGGTTTGCATTCTACATCGGGCACGTCCATCTCTGTCATGATCCGAATCTCTTGATCCGAGGGAGGAAACGTAGTCTTGTGTTGCGGGGTGGTTATCTGGACTGGGACCGGAGAGTTGAAATCTAGGAATACTCCTAGCTCCCCGCAGACAAGTCATAAGAATAGTCACGAATATAAAGTGAGGATGATAATATCTGGGGTAGGTATAGAGAAAACTACCCCACAGATATATTACCCCCCAGATAAACTAATCATCCCGCCCGATAGTTAACAACAAGCCGCGGAGTTACAGCGATAAGTCCACATGCCATTGACTTTCGTTATCCGCCACCGGGTGTTCCTTATGAGATATAGCGGGCCTGGGCGATCCGGCCCTGATCCAGCGGGACGGCAGTTGAACCGCGGAGTCTACAAAGTGAGCCACGGAGTCTATGTCATGATCTGCAGACTGTCTTAGGACAAGCTGCGAAATTTCATGCATCAGTTTGTACGTACTATAAACGCAGAACTAAGTGCTCCAACCTTTATGTTTCACAGCCTGCAGCTTGATTCCTTTATCTCTCACTACGCTTGGCAAGACATCTTTATTTCCAATATCACAAAATTCCTCGTTCATCTTTCCCAACATGAACATTTATGCTCTCACTCTTGGCGCAGCAGCTATTCTGCTCACATTTATTTTCCGCCAACTGTATCAAAGATGGCACAAGTCCCATATCCTTGATCATATACCCACCCACGCCTTCCCGGATGGGAACAATACGAGGCCTCGGTACATCAGCGAGCTCAAGGATCTTTTAGAGTCAGGTTATCGCCGATACAACAAACAGGGCCGAGCTTTCAAAGTCCCCATTCCGATTGGGGGATACTCCGTGAAGTATCGCGTCGTCCTTCCCAAGGACCACCTAGAGGAGATGAAGCACCTATCGAACAACATCTTCAGCTGGGCGAAGGCCTCTGACGTTATCTTTGCTCAAGACTACACTGGTGCCCCTAAACGAGGTCCGTGGTCTGGAAAGGCTCTTCGGGTGGGTATCCATCAGAACCTGGGCGATATCACAAAACAGCTGGAGCGGAGAATCGATCAGTACTTCCACTCGCATTTACCCAGTGAACCAAACAGTGGAGTGGCAACCATCAAATTCATGGAGTTCTTCGTCCCTGCCATAGCAAACGTCACGAACTCCTTGCTCGTCGGTGAAAAGCTCGCATCAGACCCGGAATGGATGGCCCAAACGATCGATTTTGCAGTGAATCGATACAAATCTGCAGATGACGTGCGGGCATGGCCCCCATCCCTTGCTGCCATGATTTCTCCACTGATCCCAAGTGTGAGGAGACTACGACAGAGCAAGGAATACGTCAAGGCACAGCTGAGGCCCATGTATGAAGAGCTCAAGCGACAAGACGCGCTTGGAGCTGGTGAAAAAGCCAAATACCGAAAGGGCCTGTTCGGGTACGAATGGTTATGGGGAGGAGCTCCCGACGATGTTACTCTGGACGATTTCTCCGAGACCATGATGCGAACCATCATTGCATCGATCCATACATCAGCAAAGACAATCAGTATCGCTCTCATAGACATGTTGTCCCAGCCTCATTATCTTGAGGAACTACGTCAAGAAGCAGCACAAGCTACTTTGCCGAACGGATCTGTCAACATGGACGCACTGGTCCAACTGGATTGTTTCCTGAAAGAAAGTCAAAGGCTCACCCCGGTATTCCTATGTAAGTCCGCTACCCTGAATCCAAATGCAGTTTCCAACCTTTTAACACGTATAACGCAGTGACCATGAACCGAGTTGTAACTCAGGAGTACACCTTCAAGGTGTCCGGAACCCGGCTTCCTATCGGCACCATGACAACCGCCGCGACCGCTGCCATCGCAACTGATCCAGATACTTTTGGTGCTGACTCTAATGAATTTGACGGACACCGCTTCACCCGTATTCGTGAGAATAACAAAGCCGGAGAAAGTACGTTTAAGATGGGAATGGCCACAGAGGATTCCCTCGGGTTTGGTCTCGGCAGCCAAGCTTGTCCAGGCCGATTCTTCGCTGTGAATCTTATGAAGCTCATGCTGGCCAAGCTTATAACACGCTGGGAACTGAGGTTGGAAAAGGAAGGAATTCCATACTCGGGAGGGAGGCCTAAATATGAATATTACGACTTCTCAGTGGTCCCCCCAACTGCGTTTGGGATGAAACTTATGGTTGGTGACAATGTGGAGTCGGCTTGATTTACTTTGGCTGTGATGGGGCTCATAGAGTGATGCAAATCATGCTATTATGAAATTGAGCTAACATAAAACAAATAGAAGGATCAAGACAATCCTTCATCCCTATCTAGCAACTTGCCTACGTCAAGGCCTAATCCTTTAGATTTCTATATAATACTAACCTATTACTAGAATTTAAATGTGTAGCAAGGCTAAGTGAGTTCTGGGTTGCTCGGTAGGAAGATGCTAAAATCACCGCTGATCTTTGTTGATAATAGGATCAACACTCTCGAGAGAAGCAAAGTAAGGTAGCATCTATAGAGAATATATAGAGAGAAAATTTGTATTGTGTAACTATCGAGAGATTGAGATAGATGTAGAGAAAGGCAAAGCGGCAGTAGTCAACCTAGAAGGGGGAAAACAGACAAGGAGGCGCTCCGACCCTAAACAAACAGGAAAGCAATGCCTCAGGTAGCTGTGCCAATAGTCGAAGGGTTGGGTTGTTTAGAAACAGGCCCGATTCTCTTCCAAGTCTGGCTTACATCGTGCCGATAAGCGGCACTTGTCTTCAATCTTCAATACTTTTCGCAATCACTGAATATACGCCTATCTATGGCTGAATTATCCTAGTCCCGCGGCATTGACAAGCGTCAACAACAACTCCGCGATATGATCATATGAGATGTTTAGAGTTTTGACTCCGCGGTTCGGCTAGTGCGTACTTTATACTAGCCGATGAATTGGCTGTAAATGTCAATATTCCACAACATTAGACAGGGTGAATTCTTCTGCTATTCCCGTTGCATCACTAGATGGCCCCAGGTCCGTCTTGAACATATATATTAGGCTTGTCTTACCTTGCTTTTCCGATTTGTGGTATCAGATGTTTCAACGCTGTACTACTGTGTTCAGATCAACAAGATGGTTCTGGAATTGTCCTTCGCCTGTTGGGACTATGATCGCATGAAAGCGATAGAAGATGGCCGGGTTCGCGCGGAAGGTATTGAGCTCAATTTTCTGAATCTGCGTGTGGAAGAAACGTGAGGACACTTTCAAGATATTGTACTTGGATTTTCTTCAATCACGGTCCCCACATAGCTAATCCAAGATCCCAATTGCAGGTTCTTCCGTCAATTACGTTTTCGGGAGTTTGATCTCTCTGAACTGTCTTTGTCCTCATATATCATGACACTACATCAAGAGAAACCTCCTTTCATCGCCTTGCCGGTCTTTCCCTCTCGATTCTTTCGGCAGCAGTCCATGTATATCAACAAAAATGCGGGCATTTCGAAACCTCAAGATCTGGCAGGTAAAAAGATTGGGGTTCCTGAATACCAAAGTAGGCACCCAGACAACATACATCTAAAGGAAACCTACTCACATGGCATGATAGTGACCGCGGCAGTGTGGCAGCGGGGGATCCTCGAAGAATATTATGGGGTTCCTCCGAGCCAAGTGCAATTTTACGTGGGCGCCATCGAAAGAAGTGACCAGGAAAGAATCAGCAAGATCCCGCACTCCCTACTTCCGGATATAAAAGTGGCCGCAATTAGCAAGGAGCAAAACCTCTCGGACATGCTTGCTAATGGTGAGCTCGACGCGGTCTTTAGTGCTAGCAAGCCGTCATCTCTCGAAACATCTGAAAATGTTGGACGACTGTTTTCCAACTTCAAGGAGGTGGAAGCAGAATATTTTCGGAAGACTCAACTCTTTCCCATTATGCATGTGGTCGCTCTCAAACGGGATGTATATGAGAAAAATCCGTGGATTGCGAAAAGTCTAACCAAAGCTTTCGCGCTGAGTCTCGATGTGGCGTATGAATCCATTCAAGATAGGTCGGCGCTCAGATATATCTTACCATGGCTGGAAGATCATGTCATAGAGACCCAAGCGCTAATGGGCGAAAAGGCGCGATGGTGGCAGGATGGGTTCCAGGTCAACAAGCACGTCATCGACAAATTCTTGGAGTATCATCACCGGCAAGGACTGTCACCGAGACGGTTAAAGGCGGAGGAAATATTCGCCCCCAATGCCCGGGAGACATTCGTTCTGTGATCTTAGTGTCGGTAGAAAGATAGCCGAAAATGGCGTCAGGCATTAGGCCCATCAACTTGGACCATGGATATACAATAGCTGGGATTTGCTAGTGGTCACCCACCTAACTACTAACCAGCCAGCGTGTGGCTTAAGTGCAGCTAAGTAGATGGGAAGCCCTGTTTTCCACACCCTGTGGTTGTATGTGCTAGATTATATAAAATTGTGTATGGTATCAGTTTACCCATTCCATTGAGGCCTGGGTTGATGGGAGCAAATGTCAGTGAGATTGTTTTCAGAAGGACAAGGCCCCAATCAAAGGGCCTCGTACCATGAGTCAATAATACAGTGAGCCTGCAGGCACAGCTCTTGCTGAGGTCTTCCAAAGCATTCTGGCATAAGTTGAATTGTATGAGTCCTGTACCGTCTTATCCGGCACAACGTGTGTTCATATTGCCATGTCATATTTTGTGGAAACCCTTCATAATGACGTAGCATATTGGCTAATTATTATTAGGCACGTCCCGGCACGGCTAGCAGCTCATGATCAGTATGCATTCTTCTTAATCATCTTTTTGTTGGAAGTATTCTCAAATCCCGACGTTGACATCTAACACATATATACAGTTACAGTCCGGCGCTAAGTGGTGAGAATGGCAGACCATCGCAGCGCGCATATCTCAGGAGTCACCGCATCCCAAAGGCTTGATTCGAGAGGAAAGCCTACCGTCAAGGTGTCTGTGACGACGGGAGCTGGTAGAGTACTCTAATTGGCCTTGTTGCTGTATGGTTCATAATGTCAAAATTAGGGACCTTCAGCGCAATAGTCCCATCGGGTGCATCTGTCGGGGACTACGAAGCCCACGAGCTACGTGATGGTAACGCAGATGATTACGGCGGCAAGAGCGTCCACCAGGCTGTCACGAACGTGGAGAAGGTCATTGGCCCAGCGCTGATCAAGCAGCAATTTGACGTCAGAAATGATCTGGAGAAGATCGACCGTTTTATGATCCAGCTGGATGGGAGCAAGAACAAAAGTAGGCTTGGGGCGAATGCCATCCTGGGCGTTAGCATGGCTTGTGCAAGGGCCGGAGCTGCAGCGAAGGTCGGTGGTATTCTTCTTCCCCAGACCAGGACGAGACTTATTTGTGTGCCAGGGAATTCCACTGTATGAGTTTCTGAGGGCACAGGCGGGAATAACTGGGCCATACGTACTTCCTGTGCCTTTCTTCAATGTGCTCAATGGCGGCAAACATTCTGGAAATTCCATGGCCTTCCAAGAATTTATGGTTGCCCCAGTCGGGGCCAAATCGTTGACTCACGCAGTTCAGCTCGGTAGCGAGGTTTACCAAGCTCTAAAATCTGTGATCACGGAGAAGCATGGCGCGTCCGGTAGGGTTACTATTTACATATTGAGTAGTGGCTTCTAATGAATTGCTTTAGCTATTGGTGTCGGGGACGAGGGCGGATTTGCGCCACCGATTACTGAACCCACAGAGGCCCTGGACCTTCTGATGGTTGCGGTGAAGAGAGCAGGCCATGAGGGAAAGATCAAATTCGCAATTGATCCCGCCGCTTCTGAATTCCATATCCGAGGGGCATACGACTTGGGGTTCAAGAGTAAGAAACAGTGCCAGTTGTCTGCGGCAACACTCAGCGATTTATATCGGTCGTTGCTGGATAGGTATCCGATCATCCTTCTGGAAGACCCATTCGCAGAAGACGACTGGGCGGCCTGGAGAACATTCAACCAGAATTGTCGTATTGAATTGGTTGGAGATGACCTGTTGGCGACAAATCCTGAGCGAATGGAAATCGCCAAAGAAAACAACGCGTGCAATTCGTTACTGCTGAAGATTAACCAGATTGGCGCCATAACGGAGTCGCTAGAAGCGTACGCTTTCATTAACCTCCACTCCTCCATCCGTCATAGCGCATTATCCATGTTAACTGCATTGTAGGGCCCGAAGGGCATTCAACTATGGTTGGCGCGTTTTTGTCTCGCATCGCTCGGGTGAGACAACAGACGACTTCATTGCTGATCTGACCGTCGCATTATCCGCTGGACATTTGAAATCCGGTAGTCCATGTCGAGGAGAGCGGGTTGCCAAATATAACCGTCTGATGGATATTGAGGACCAGCTGGATGTTTCTGGCTCGCCGCATGAATACGCAGGAAAGTCGATGAGCTGGAGGGGAATGGAATGAGACACCCGGTAGTCGGGTATAGAGTATCGCTTTGCCAAACAGCAGTACCGCGGAGTTGGAGTTGTATTCTCATGACGCTGTCCACATGGAAATCCTAAGCGCGATGCAAGCAATAGTCGGTGTTACCGTGTTCTCGTCCTTAGGACCAATGTGCAAGGTGTAGTTCTTGAAACGACGGTTATACCGGCTTATGATTGCATGGCTGTGGATTGACTAGGCGAAACTTGCTCTCTTCATTGTAGCCAATGAGAAAACTATAAAACTGATATCCGGGAGTACTGATTCTCTGATAATGTCACTATTTGTTGGTTTGAAGTCCCCGCCGAAGATCCTCCGCGGGAGAATCTCAACCTTATGCACTGGGGCACGGAACATCATGATCAGGAACCGAGAGAAAATAGTACCCATCTACATTAGTAGACGCCGAGTTCGCCTGAAGCGCTAGCATCTCATGTTTCCACTCTTGCACAAGACCTTGTTTCCGTCCACAGATCTCCTGCGTTCCCTGCGCACTCAAACACGGCCCCAAATTGCTCAAGAAAAGTTCAGCTCAACAACGGAAACGACCAAAGAAGCAGACAACTGAAAATGGCCGAGTTCAAATATCTGATCCACTTCGCAGATGAGAAGGGAGAGAGATTCTTTGCCGATGTCGATTCCACGAAGCCCGTCATCGGGGCACAAATCAACGCATATCGATCATTCGAGGACCTGAAGGGGACGCAGAATGGCTCAATTACCTCTATTGCCAAGGTACTGCAAGCCCTCTCCCACAAGAATGACCTTCCCGCCTGAATGTAGTCTCACATCGACATGCAGCTCCTTCCTCCTGTCCCTGCACACGATCTGCCGATCTATTGCGTCGGGCTTAATTATAAGAGTCATGCAAAGGAAGCAAATGTAAGTTCCTCACCGTACAAGATTCTAGACACAGCCTCACAAGAAAATCAGCTCAATGTCCCTGCGAATCCCCCGGTGTGGACAAAGCCCGCTGCTGCTCTGGCAGGTCCCGACGAGACGATCGCGATGAACCGGTTCTGCGCGTCTCATTTACCGGACTGGGAGGTGAGTGATGTCCTCTTCTGATTGCGAAGCCTCTTCCAGTGCTGCAGGTACTGTCCGGAAATAAGTCTGATCATTCCACAATCGCGGATATTAGGGAGAGCTCTGTTTTGTGACCTCGCGCGAGTGTCGCGACCTCACCGTTGAAGAGGCATCCTCATGTATTCTGGGTTATACCATCGGCAATGACCTGTCCTGCCGCTTCTTCCAGCTCCCCGAGCAGTCCGGCGGACAGTTCTTCTACGCCAAGGCCTTTGATAGATTCGGGCCAGTTGGGCCGGTGCTGGTCCATCCGTCCGTCTGGCAGGAGGTTGAGAAGACAGCCCGGTTGGTAACGCGCGTGAACGGGCAAGTCAAGCAAGACTGTCACCTCAGCACGGACATGATCTGTGATCCTGCGAGGATTCTCAGTTGGATGTCACAGGGTAAGTGTTTCATGGATGACTCTTGCTTGAAGACTATGACCGGAATGGCTTGATAATTGTTGTTTCCATCCTTCTGCGTTATAGGCACTACGATTCCCGCGTACACGATTGTTATGACAGGGACTCCCGCTGGGGTGGGCGCATTCCAGACCCCTCGCCAATTTCTCAAGGATACAGATTCGGTCGAAATTGAGATTACCGGTCTCGGAGTTCTAAGAAACCAGATCGCGTTCGAAGAGGGCCAGGACAATATGCTGTGAGATGACCTTCTGTCTTGTTTGAAGACTGTCAACGATCACCGGGGCTATTTGCTCCGGAATGGCAGACGCTTGTACTGACTATGCTTCCTCTTACGAGATGACCAGGACCCTTGCGTGGAGATTGATCAAGTCTAAACTGTGGTATAGGTTCAGTCTGTGGCTAATATAAGTGTTAGCACAAGGCAGTCCTCAATTCGCTGTATCTCCTCTGTCCCGAAATCCGTGTATTCTGCTATCGTCATGTAATAAAGAGAACTCCCGTTTGCTAGACCTATTGCTACTGTGGACAGCTGGTAGTGGTATGAACTAGGGACCTGGCTGAGGCGTTGTAGCCTGCTCACTCTGTAGCTCTGTAGTATCTGGCCCTGCGTATGTCAGAGCTTCAATGAAATGTGAAATAGTCTCAAGGTTGGGGAAAGCACAGCCAACATATTTATTTGTCTCTTGTGATCTCAGACTTTTCAGATAATGTACAAAATGATGAACTTAGACAAAAGAGCAGGCAGTGGCAATAGCAGGGAAATTTGCAAGTTCAAATCAATCAGTTCTCAAGAAAGACTCCTTTCCAGCTTGTCCAAGCTACTCTTCAGGTCAAGTAGGTCTCTACCCCTGGCAATGACGATATTATCAGGCCGGAGAATCACATAGCGAGCGCGAGAGTCGCCAAGACGATGCATGAACTGGAGGGAGCTGTATCCTGGGCGCACGGGGAACCCAACAAGAAGATCCGCAGGGGCTACATGACAAACCGGCCACTGACTCACACCGGAGATGTGATCTGAAGAGTCGGAAGGATTGAACTGCACAATCGACCGCTCCGATAGTGCAGCAGGATCTATTCCGGATTGTCGAAGGACCCGAAGCAGAGCGACCAGTTCCTGTTCTGTTTCAGAGGACTGGCCGGGTGTGATGACAAGAAGAGTCAAGACGGTAGGGACCCGCCGCAGCGCCTGGTCAGACAGCTCAATCATCGGGGTCGGGCTATCTGGGAGACGTGTTTGCACGTAGACCTGGCCCAGCTTGATCCCTCCGCCATTCTCGGCAGCAAAGCCCCCTCGCCCACAGCCGCGGTACCCCTGGCTGTCAGCCTCAAACGGCCCGAGACGCATACCCAGAGCCCCGAGGAAGCCCTGAACAACTCTCAGACACGCGAGCTGCACCGATCCCGTCCATGAAGCTTCTTTGTTGCATAACTCGCCATTCTGCCGGGTCAGTCGGGCCGAATTGTCAATGCCCATTCGACGTTCATCCGCCCATGCCTGAAGAAGACCCTCTCGCAGAGTCCGAGAGTGCGCTAGGGAGCCAACCTTGGTGAGAATCGCCAGTCGCCAGGCTAGTCCGGCCGCGTCCTGAACACCACATGCCACCCCTTGCCCACCGAAAGGCGGGAAGACGTGCGCCGCGTCCCCAATCAAAACAGTCCGCTCAGCGAACCATTTATTAACCACCCGGTGACTGAAGCGGAACGGGCGGCAACGAAGCACCTCAATACAATCCCGGGGAAAAGTTACCTCAACGGGGCAGCCGCCGTGAAGCGGCTGGATCCTCCGGGTGATGAGCGGGGTCAGATGCTCCCAGAACATGGCACTGGCATCCATGGAGTCGTCCCACTCGGGGACAGCAAATTCATGACGCCACAATCGATCCGAATGCGGACCAAAGCGGCCACAGGCCACGGGCTTCCCGGGGGGCCGACAAAAGTGCCAGTCTGCCGGCCAGAAGAGGTCGTATACTGACTTCGGGTCATGTCCAGCCGCCCAGAGAGCAAGCTCGGGGTGGCTTTGCGGCGTCGGGAGGGTGATTTTGAGATTGGCTGCTATCCAGGTGCCTTCGTACTCGAAGATCCCGGTTTCCTGACGGACACCCGCGGACGGCTCGAGGAAATGTTTGCGGACGATGCCTCTTTTCCCATCCGCCCCGACCAGCCACGCGGCCTGGATCTGGCGCGGTGTTTGGTCGCTATCGAGGTAGTGCACCGTCACTCCGTTTGCGTGCTCGTCGCGCCCGACAACTTCACAGGCTGATTGGAGGGTGCAATATTTCGAAGAAGCTACCAATTGCCGGAGGAAATACTCTGTGCACAATCAGATTTGATCGGACGTAGATCTTCCGTGTGAGATTCAGCAGGTTGATTGCGAAGGAAGGATAACTTACCCAGTCGCGGTTGGCTCTGCAGGATGGTACTCGGCAGACCGTGTTCCATCATGTCCGAGTCAAGCTCGATCGTAAAGAAAGGTTCATTCTGAGGGGAAGTCGTGTGAAAATTGACGGACCGTAGCTCTACCGGGTAGACAAACCGTCAGCTCCTGATATTAAACATGACGGACGGCCTGGAGATATAGCACCTACCCTGCCCTATGGAGGAGACATGTTTTCCCAGTCCTAGGGTCCATAAGCTCCGAAGAGCATCCCCCGTGAGTACAACTCCTCGGGGGTCATGCGTGATATCATCTTCTTTCTCAAGAATGACCGACTTAGAAGCGGTCAGTTTGATCTTCCTCAACGATCTCAATAGTACAATATATCTACTTACCTTGATTTCGTACCTTGCTAAAGAAAGCCCTAGAGTCAGGCCTGACGGGCCACCGCCGACAATAACCACGTCGGTATTCATTGGAGACATGGCAATGCAAAAGGAGGAGAGGTGAATGTTGGGTTGAGTATATTACTAGAAGCACACGAATATTTGTGCAGGTCAACAATAGGCTTAGACAGTTAATCACAGCATGCGTATAGGTAGACCGTAGATGGTGACTTTCCGAAATTATGCCGCGGCGAGTCTTGATGTCCGACAGTTGGTAATTCTCCCGCGGGAACACATAAGATGGCGAGGCTAACAGGTTTAATTGTCCCACCCTGCCTGATATATTCTGGAACGAAGAAACTTCCTTCTGATACATATCATCAGTCTTATGCAACTTTGGTCTAGCAGTGATGGAATAAATACAAAGCACAGCTTAGATCACATCTACCACGCACAAACATCAGAAGACATTGGCAAAAGAAGCAACAGTTGCGATCGCAATCCCTGAGAGCAAAATGTCTCTATTTATCCTTGATGTGATTGCCTATCTGCCTAAATCATGGCAGGACTGGATCCTTCCACCATCCTCAATCCCTACGGTGACCAACAACCCGTCCAAAGTCCAACTATCTCGCATCGCACATGTCTACTTCGAACACAAAGATCTGAACAAATTTGACCTGTTCGCCAAGGACTTCGGCTTCGTACCAGCAGAGCGTAAGGGAAACACCATCTACTACCGCGGTTATGGCAAGGACCCATACGTCTACGTGGCGTCGCAGAGCCGGACCGGCCGATCACGGTTCCTGGGTGGCGCCTGGGTAGCCAAGGACGAGGACAACTTCAACAAGGCCGCAGCGCTCCCGGGCGCCGTACTAAAGGACCTCGACGAGGCGCCCGGCGGAGGCAAGATGATCACCTTCGCCCGGCCCAACGGGACCTTCTTCCACGTCGTGCACGGGCAGACCGAGCGCAGCGTAGACACCGAGACGGAGCAGCCCCCCTCCGAGACGCACGAGTCACAAGGGCCGTACAACACCCCCTTCAAGAAGAAACGGCTAGGCCAGTTCCAGCGGTACCGCGAGGCCCCCGCGCTCGTGCACAAGCTCGGCCACTACGGCTACGTGTGTCGAGAATTCGACACCGAGCTGGACTTCTACACCTCCAACTTCAACTTCGTGCACTCGGACATCCTCAATCTCCCGCAGTTCCCGGACGTCGACGTCCTGACCTTCATGCATCTGGACCTGGGCGCGGAGTACTCGGACCACCACAGTCTGTTCCTGCAGCGTGCGCCTCCGAACGTCCGCGAGACCTACCTCCACCACAGCTCGTTCGAGGTGGCTGACTTTGACGAGCAGCTGATGGGTCATCGGTACCTTGCCAAGAAAGGGTGGAAGTCGGTTTGGGGAGTGGGGCGTCATATCCTGGGCAGTCAAATCTTTGACTATTGGTATGACAGCAGTGGGTTCAAGATCGAGCATTACGCGGACGGGGACGTGGTAAACGAGGACAATCCGACCCGGAGAGAACCTGTCGGGCCATTGTCCATATGGGGGCCTGAGGTGCCGAAGGACTTTGGCGCCAATAAGGCAAAGTAGGATTGCGGGTCGTGATTGGAGTTTATGGTGGCTTGTATGTAAGATTATTGTGTTAATTGTATCATGTATGCGTTGTTCCGTGCTGGCTCCATTCTCCATCAATACCAAAGTAATTCCCCTCCTTAACCCTAGAGGCCAGACGTCATTCTCTCAGTACCCACTTGCCAGACCAACATAGTACTTGGGTGATGGAAACCCTATCTCCGCGAGGGCGATGCTCCTCTGATGGTCCGTTCCTGCATCACTGTTGAAGTATCCCACTTCGTGTGTATGTTAAGGTGGGGCCCACAAAAGAGGCCAGAATTGAGAGGACCGCTTACCGCGTTGCGGTAGTCAGACGACGAGTGTATCTGATATCATTGCCGGTCCGATTTGCCCATCTGTCCTGGTCAATGACCTCTTGCTTCACAGCCAGAATGAAGAAGCGTATGTAAGTGTATTGCCGTCTGATCAGGAAAGGGCGTCACCGACAATGGTGCAACAAGGAGATGCTCCATCGAAGGCAACTCGACTTGGACCACAAGCATCATAAGGGGGACAAAAAGTCGAACGTAAAACCAAGCCCAGGAAGGTCGAGCCCGGGTTCCTGTGGTGTGAGCAAAGGATCCTGCGGATTTGGGGAAAGACCAAGAAGTCCCCTCCAGGGACGAAAGGGTCCCGGCACTCGTGTCAGGAGCTGACCAATGTCGTGGGAAGAGAGGGGGCCATGGACAGCACTGGTGAATTCCTCGAATGCCGCTATGCGATCGTTAATTAAGTATAGTAAAAATCAAACCTTGAGCCATGTCTCGGCAGAAAAATCAAAATGCAAAAATCAAAGCAACAGATCAGGGATCCCACCTTTGAGTGACCTGGGAAGTGCCCAGATTCTGGCAAATTGCTCCAAAAACAACAGCAGTATGTTCCTCTCCGCCTGGAGACGCTCGGAAAGGGCTGGCATTTTAGGTGTGGCCTCGTGCATTTCATGCAGGTATAGTAGAATCAATGTAGAGAATACAATGAGGCAAATGGCTGGGTCCACCGTCGAACAATACCGGCTGTCCCATTCTCTGATGACAGCCACAATGTCCTCGGAGTGGGCCAGTGATCGCTGCCAGGATGTCGTCCACATCGAGTCGTCCGAGGGATCGAACGTGATTGCGTTCAAAAGCCGTGCCGTGTGCAGATGGAGTAGACAGACAAGCCGCGCATGGTGGTCTACACTAGATTCATTGGCAAAGGCGTTGCGAGCTTCGCGGAGAAACTGCGGAGGCAAGGAAAGAACCACGGCTGAGAGATGATCTCCGAATTGAGAGCGTCGCTCCCGAAGACCTTCTGACGGGTTCTGCCTCCGTAACCGATAAATAGCGGCCGCTTCCCTCAGAAGAGTCGTCGTGACGATATGCATGTTAAAACATGAGGCCTGGATATTGAGATCGCCCATTTCCGCCGAGATGCGCCACAGATCTCTGGTATCCGGGGGCAGAAATTTCCCCCCATGGCTACCAACGCGGTTATCGCCTGAACCCTGTAGAGAAGTAGCCACCAAGGCGGTCCGTATGCTCTCCTTTTCCACGACAAAGGGGGTGGCTGCCGTAATATTCGAGTACGAGTCCAAGCAGTAGATGCACCACCAAACATATCTCCATTCTTCCAGATTGGCTGGGCTTGCCAAGGCGTCACCAACTGAGTTGTACCTATCAGTGGAATCTAGCTGATGTAGTCCTAATCGGAGAGCTTTGCGCGAGAGTCGACTGATATAATCCCATGCGTCTCCACCATGACCCTGATGGAAACGGTAAAATGCGAGCAGGCAGTTTTGCCGGAAAGCGTCCAGCAGGAGGGCCGGCTGGGTTGGGCCTTCCAACGGGTCGTTCTTCAACAGCTCTTGAAGACAATCGTCGATATTGGCTACCTGCCAACCGTGCGGTAGGCCGAGAGACTTCGCCGTGACAGCTAGGACGGTAAGCAGCAGAGAATGGTTGATCGTTCCATGCTCGTATTGCTCGAGAAAGTCTTCTTTCCGAAATAATGGGATTGAATAATGGACAAAGTCAAAGAAGTCATGGACCCTAACACAAGGTGACGCAAACGTCGTCAATTCTGAGACGAGAATGGTTGGCAGCAGGACTTACAGCTTCGCTTGCATCTCCGGGGAAATCCCCAGCTCCGTGGACCCGGATAACCCAGCCGTAGGGACAATAGGTGTCAACCCCGAAAGGAGAGACATTGGCTGTGAGGTACAATCGCCCGTTGAGAAGCCAGCATCAGCGTCCAACTCAAATCCCGTCGCCGAAGAAGCAACAAAGATGTCGGAAAAGAATGAAGACACGTGCTCGCCATTGTCCTGCTCAGGACTGACAAATGAATGAGCGGCCTTTGCGGGGGACTTGACAGTACGCTTTGCTGCTTTTCGTGTACCCCTGGCTGGACCTGGCCTCTTCTTGGAGGACGAATATACGCAGGCAAAACCTCCTTCATGACATCGAGAGCAAACCGGTCGTTTTTGATCGCCTTCAATAGGGTTGAGTGATGATTATACTCAATATCGAAATCTTCAATCGGCGCACTCACATTTAACCTTTCTCCTGAAAACGGTTAGTCAGGCGGAATATCTGGGGTTGGACGGAACCACTGACGAAATGCATTTGTCACATACTCGCAAGTTGCTTGCTTCAAGAGACTGCGTGACCTGTTCTTGAGCTACTGTCGAGTCAGACCGGCTAGAGGAATCGGGAGACATTACTACACAGCTCCCTCTCTGCCAGATGGAAAATAAATTGCTGTAAATTGCTCCATGGTCAAGGCTGGTGCTAGATGATGTGTTCATGCTTTTTGCGGGGGGTGGACAGTTGATGTCACATGACGTGATCTCCTAAACTAACTGACCAATAAGATGACACTGGATGGGTTTGTTGCCACCACTTTGGCTCACGTGCTCAGGCATCTCTTATTGGGCAGAACCAAAAATGGCGAGTTCCTCCGCGGACAAACTTCCTGCAGTCCTGCAGTCACAGGTGGTCCCTTCCGACGAGGTTATGGATATCATTATGACTGCATTGTCTATATCTTATTTGCTGGATCTTGGAAGCATGCAGCATAAGCTATGGAAGACCAAACTACCCCATTCTACATTCGTACGCGCAAAGACAACAAAACCGCCATCACAGGGGCACACATTCTGAGGTTCAGATAGAGATGGTGAAAGACTCAAAGTCAACCTTCTATGTTGACAGAGATCAATCCGTCATCAACTTCTTCATATGAAACATGCGCGAGAAGATCCAACCAAGGAGGCCAGACCAGAGCCATCCCCCAACGAAGAATTGTATCACCTTGCTTTCATTTCCTTCCCACAGCCATTTCTTGTATGATCGCTAACCGGCCTGTCGAACTATCTGCGCGACTACCCTCTTTGCGTAAGCATCGCAGCTCATTGCATCATCCTGACTGTGTTGAACGCGGCGATTATACTCTGGCAGAATTCCTCTATATAGAGAATCTGGCGCCGGTTGGCGATCCTCCGGAGCAATGCGCGATTGGACACCTCCTGTTACGGCAGTGGTGACTTTCACTCTGTAGACAGGCATCGCTCTATGAGTATTGAATCTGCGCTTCATGGACGGGAATCCCCGATGGGATTAAGAGACGCGACAGTGAAGCTTACCCAAATGGCGCCAGTTCAATACGCATCGTGTCGCTCAAAGAATGCAAGGCTGCTTTGGATGCGTTGTAACGGAACCGAAGGCATATGGCATCACCTGGAGCAGTCAACACGGTCTCTTCAGAACTGGTCCCATAGCTGCCGTGCACCTACCCCAGATACTGGTCCAATTTGCACAATTGTCCCCTTGGTTTCAGAAGCAGTGGCAAGAACGTTTGACACATCAGTACACGGCGAAGACTTTCCATAATGCTCAAACGCGGCGCCTACTATGGAGCTGCATGTCAGACAGCCAGATACCAAAGGAGCATGGGTTTCTTCGGTCTAATTTTGCGTAATTGCGCCAATAATCAGATTTTCATCGTGACCTTACGCGTAAAGTTTGATATAGAGCAGTCCTTGACCCTGACAAGGGGCTGTGTAGGGAGCTAAAGGCAAGAGATTGAACATGATATACAATATTCGATATACGCTCTGTCCTTGAAGCTTCCAAACACTTAGCAGGCTGCATTTTGAGGGAGAATTCAGCGATTGCTATAAGACCTGGTGATAATCACGCTCCATTGTTTCTACATACACCCCTTGGCAATCAAACATCCACTACTGGAGAAGTGCAGCTTTGTTTCGCGCCAAGAAATCTCTCCAGCTTGTTGGCTGATACCCAGCCTTCTCGAGCAAGTCATGGCTCTCTTTCAGATTCATACCGTTGTAGTAACCGGTTCTCGATAAAGAGATGGTTCTCCAGCATCTCCTCGGCGATTGTAGCAGGCAGAAAGCTCGTATAGGTTTCAGAGTCCACCTGAACAAATCGAGTTTTCTGTCCGGTAGCCTCCTCAAACTCCTCGAGAATTCGAGTAGGGGTGTAATAGTCTGCGGCAGCGAGGATCTGAGCACCAAGGGACTCTGCACGATTCTTCAACGCCGCTGCGACGTATTTGCCTATGCGTTCCATTAGCCTGTGCTACTCCGTGCACTTCCCTCGCGGATGGTCGTCACATACCCAAATCGTTCTCGATGTCAACGAGCGGAAATTTGGCATCTTTACTCACAGGGTAGGCCAGCGTGTAGACGCCGTCCTCGCCCTTGCGCAGCATTCCCATTTCGGTATAATTGGTCATGAAATACCCCGGCAGCACAAAGGTAGCAGGCACACCGATGGATCGAATATACTGCTCCACCTGCGCTTTCTGGTCAAAATGGGGTACGTGTTTGAGCCGACCGCCGGATGTCTCAGTGACATTCACCAAAGAGGAGAAGATCAGATGCTGGGCACCAGTTTCCTTTGCTGCATCAGCCACGTTCTTGCCGTGCGCCAGTTCCGCATCAGAGCCGGCAACGCCCCAGGCCGGCGTGGTCACAAGGAAGACCGAGTGGCTGCCTTGCAGTGCCTCAACGAGAGACTCCTTGGAGTTCATATCGGCCTTGGTAAGCAGTCAGCATTGTTTCCATTGTCTGGCCTGGTCTGGTGGCTAGAGCTCACTTTTCCGAATTCAACACCCTTCTTGGACAGTGCTTGAGCTTCCGGCTTTGTCGCATCACGGGTGATACCGCGGATCTTGAATTCCTGGGAGAGGTTTGCATCCTGCAGGATTGTGCGGATGACAGAACCGCCCTGCTTTCCTGTGGCGCCAAAGACCGTGATGATTTTGGACATTTTGGTGAATCGCTGAGCTATAGTAGTCGATGCAAGTTAAGTTACTTGAGAATTGAAGATCTTGTTGATGAACATGGCTATTGAGGATGATGTTCTTCTTTTATCCTCGGTCTTGAAGGCATTCATGACGACGTTGCCATTTGGTGAGTAGGGCGATGACAAATTTTTGTCTCGACGACAAGCATACAGCCTTCGGTCTCGGTCTTTGCACAGCCGAGGATTGCCAATACAATGGCTAATATTTTATCTGAGCTGTGGCTTGCCTTGTCAGCTCGGCCTCCACACCAACCCGAAACGTCATGGAAATTATTAATCACCGACAGCTCGTGGTGGCTTGAACATTGAGGAGATGGTCCTATTGGTTCATGGGAATATAGAAACTAGATTATGACGACATTGACGTACCTAGTAGTAGAAGTACTTCTACGAGTATCGCTCTATCTATTGAAAGGAGGTCCGATTTCATTTCTCATCAATATCCTCTTTCAATTAATTACATCCTTCTCAACCATGGCAGGAAAGCAGCTCCGTGACAATGTCTCACGTTTTCAAGGAGCCCCCTCCTCTGGGAAAATCAGTCTTTGTTGGACTTCGCGTGGCAGATGTGTTCTGGTAGTACAACTTGCTCTATCGAGGTTGGGGCATTCGACTGATTCAGAAGCTCGGTGGTCATGCCGTTCAGTCATCTCGGGTCCTCAATCCACTGGCCTTGGGCGGGCTCCAACCCTACTATTGGAATCGTCACTCTTCTGTCTCTCGGCAGCTGCCTTAAGCAAATTATTCATATCATGTTTGTCTCCGAGCAAGCAATGGACGTTGGATCATTCTGCAGGGCTGCACTGTCAACAATCTATCAATTCTTCGGCGTGGACGAATCTAGATCTGTGACTACCTTGTATGACTGACTGTACTCTTCTTGGGCATACTAAAGGATATCCCAGCAGGTTGGGACGAATCATATTGCGTAGCAAAAGACACTATTCTGCACTATTGGTGACCTAATTTATTTATGACTCACCGGATAATAAAGCTGCCTATTATTTAGTGGTTCATTATCATTCTTAATGAGACTATTCGAGTACTAAGAAGGATTGCGACTGACTCTTATACCACTGCATTGCAAACAAGCAACCATTCTCCCCAAGAAACAAACATGGCCCCCTCCTCAACACAGTCAGCATGCGGGATTCCTGAGATTCTGGAGATGATTCTCCTCAAACTGGACATGCGGACGCTCCTTTGCATGCAACGAACATGTCGCTTCTGGTTAAGCATGATCAGAGAGTCACCAGCCATACAAAAAGCCCTGTATTTTATACCTATAGAAAACACACCGGGTCAGGAAAAAGCCCAGAACCCTTTATTGGTAGAAGCATTCCCTGCACTGTTCAACCTCAGCGACGCCGATAATCCGGACGACGGCTATGTATACGACGAACGCACCCTCGCCACCTTCGACATGATGAAAACCCCTCCAAACTAGCCGCACATCTGCTATCAGAAGCAAGCTGGCGACGGATACTAGTCCAACAGCCCCCGGTGTGCAACTTTGCAGTTTTCATCCATACTACTAACGGATACGGGTTCAACCATACGTTCTTCTTGGTTCCTGTAGGCGATCCTGGACAAAGGTCTCCGTGAAATGATAAGTTAGGTTACTAGCCAACACACAACAGGAAGATCCAAGAGGGTTCGCGGATGGCTTGCGTATGGGTGATTTCTTCGAGGCGCTGGTGTTCGGTGCCGAGGTCCGCTATGCGATCTTTGCGGTCCGGGCGATCAGCCTGGAACGAGATGGAGCAGCTGATGGGAAAGACAGTGGACTTTGACATCGTTGTCACTCTCTGTTCTCACTCGAGTCAGTGTCATGATTCGGATGATGAGGAGCCAACAGAGGACGAAAAGGTAAGGGATCGGATTTAAGCTGCGTACAAGGAATTGGGGACCCAGCCTAGACATTTGGGGAAGACCGAAAAATGGAGTCATTTCAGCTGGTGGGAGTAACCCGTTTATCCTGTTCTTTATCACAATGCAGTTGATGGAGATTATCTGAGATATGCTGATCCTATGCAGAGATTCCTGTCTGTCTCAGAAAGTCCATCTTTTATGTGTTCAGTAGCTGAACTATTTAGACTGTCATAGTTATTCATGGACCTATTGAAGCACCACTGGCGCTTGTTAACTACCTGCTGGAAGTACTGGAATGCTTTCATTTGGGAAGCACTACCTTCTGGACTAAATAAGAAAGGTTACACATAGACCAAGATCGCGCGCAATTCCATAATATTTTGAATGTTCGCTGATACTTGGACGTGTGCTCGGTATTCCTTTGGTTCGCATATCACACAAGAACCTTTATTTCGTCCCAAGGTATAAGTGCCTGGATGATGCTGTCGCCACTATGATATCGCTGCAAGTAGGTACAAATCGCCGGGAGTTCATATCTAGCACGAATGTCAATCCACCATTTACTTGCACGGGCTCTGGTGTACCACAAGCACAATAGCAGAAGTGCCACAGGGTCTTTCTCCCCCAAGCGGGTCCCAAACTCGTCATGCATGTGTCTGAGGACCTGGATGACTGCGCCTTGCGGAGCCTCCCCCTTCGATGCCGCCAAAAGCCGAGACAGGCTATGTGCAACCGCGAAGTAAGGGTTATTCTCTTGCGTTGATGACTCGTCAAGCCCGCATAATTGCACTAATTCGACCGATACGCCGTCTGTGCCGTTTTTCGGCAAGGGCCGATGCATATTTGCGAAGATCCCGGACATGGCCCGGAAGACACTTTCCGGCCGCAAAGGATTGACCAGATTCCATAGTGTCATCTTGCCGGTTCCGATACGTAACCACTCTAGATCCGCGGAGTCGGGTACTCCGAGAGGCCATGCTTCTTCAGGGAAACAAGCATGGATGGAGGAGAAGGTCAAGATGGCGAGAGAGCCGGCTGTGGCCCACAGAGGATCCTTGTGTTCTTCCTTGATAGGCTGGCACAACCACCTGTTAAACAACGTTGTACATTGAGACAGGTGATACGATTCGCGCAAAGAGCGACGATATGGTGGCGCCACGCCAAGGTAACGGTCATGGACAGCCGTCACGGCCAGGCTACCATGCATTAGGAATGGACACTATAGAACACGTCAGTGAAGTCCAGGCAGACAGCGTCTCTTGGCTAATTAGACTCACAGCAAAACAAAGCCCGAACAAATGCTTTTCATAAATCTCCACCAGTGCAGAATCACCGAGAGAGTATAGGGTGCGGTAATGAAACCGGTTGAAAAGCTCTCGATCCTGCAGATCAAGCATGAAGGATGTTGTTCCGTCCTCGGCCCATATAACGTTGCTGATAGCGAACTGGGGCGACGGCAGTCCAGATGGCCTGAACATTTCCTTCTTCACTCGTCGCTCAGATCGCTCAGAGAGCGGCTGGAGATCTGGTACGTTGAAGCCGAAGTTGCAGAGGACACCATAAGTACGACATCTCACGCAATGCGGCCTCGTCTCATCACACTATGAAGTAAAGGCCCTCTTCATTAGCCTCATGGCAGTTCACTGGAAGCGAAGATTTGTTTAACTGACCTTCAATTTCCTCAGTTTGCAGTTTCGGCAGCCAAACCGCGATTTGCGCCTACAATCAGGCTTCTTTTCAACTGGTGAGGCACCCGAATTCATGATTGATTTGGGTGGAGGACGGCGCACCGAGAAATCTGGACCATGTAGGAATGTTGACTGGTCAGGGATGAATGCGCTGTCCACATCAGCAGTGCTGTAAAGAGGTCCGTTAGATTGCCTTTTGGCGATTCTTGGGGTTGTCTATCTCCGTTCCTTCGCATCCGATATCTCCGCCTGTCTGACCTGATGCTGAACGCCTTAGCCTCTGCTCGGATTCGGAGTCTGATGATTGGTCGCCATTGCTCCTGTCAAGATTATCTTCCAACTAAGTGGACAGACAGGCCTGCAGATTGACCAATCATGGCGGGTCAAGCTTATATATAGTCGCAGATGAATTACCATAGGCCATGAGTACTCCAGACTGCGTACAAGCGACCGACATATAAATTGCTGGCATGTGCATGGGAACGGAGCAAGACTAGAACTTCTCGTCCAGACTCCACCAACATTACCACTGAACAGAATCCATCTCTCTCTCATCTTAGTGCCTGTCCATTTCGTCTATCACTATGCGCATCTTCGTCACAGGCTCGACCGGCTTTGTCGGCTCAGCCGTCGTCAAAGAGCTGCTCTCCGCAGGACACCAAGTCCTCGGCCTCACTCGCAGCGACAGCGGTATCAAGCAGCTGGAGAGCCAAGGCGCCGAGGCACTGCATGGAACCCTCGAGGAACTGGACGTCCTCAAGAAGGCCGCCTCCGAATGCGACGCCGTCATCCACCTCGCCTTCGTCCACGACTTTGCCAATTTCGCCGGCGCCTGCGCCACAGACCGGGCCGCCATCACGGCGATGGGTTCCGTCCTGGCCGCCGCTGGCGGAGGCCGCGCCCTGGTCATCACCTCAGGCACCATGCTGCTCCCGCGCGGTAAGCTGGTGGACGAGGACGATGCGCCCGACATGACCAACCCGATGTCGGCGGCCCGCGGCCCCTCGGAGCAGGTGTGTCTGGACTTCGCCAAGCAGGGCGTGCGCGCCAGCGTTGTGCGCCTGCCGCCTACGACGCACGGCCCTGGAGCCTCGGGCTTCATGAGCCTGTTCGTGATCGTCGCGCTGCAAAAGGGTGTCGCGGCGTATGTTGGCGACGGCCAGAACCGCTGGTGTGCCGGCCACCGCGACGACGCGGCTAGGCTGTTCCGGCTGGCGGCGGAGAAGGCCACGCCTGGGTCGATCTTCCATGCGGTGGGCGAAGAGGGGGTGCCGCTCAAGGAGATCGCGGCTGTGGTGGGGGAGCAGCTGGATATTCCCGCTGTTAGCATCCCGCCCGAGCAGGTAGAGGATCATTTCGGCTGGTTTCGGTTTGGCGTCGTGGCGGACAACGTGGCCTCGAGTGCGAAGACGATGGAGCGGTTGGGGTGGACTCCTGCGGGGGTCACATTGATTGAAGATGTCCCGGCTATTATCGACTTTGTGAAATCTCAAGCAGCCTGATTCGCAGGCTAGGAGTGTGGACATAGGCGTGTTCGCATGAATATAGGCATATAGGAGTAGCTCAACTACGTTTCCATGGTACAGCAATCTTCCTCTTTGATGTCCCAATCAATGCGCACATTCTACATAGAGTAGAAGCAAGGATATGGTAAGATCAAGCCCATGCTACCGGCAGAAGAGCTTACTGATCCTCTGAGCTATGGATAGGTGTAGTATGCATGCTCCGATAGAAGGACACGCTCATCGTTAAAGTAACAGAGTTCCTATATCACTATCGCTCAGGGCCTCAAAATAAACTGTTTTTGTAATCATGTTGCCCCCCATTGCATCACCCACTAAGCCCTGTGTGCTTTCCGAATCGTCTTTCTGCGCTTGACGTTGCCCATGGACGACCGATACATGAGTTCCCAACCTATCATCGATATTATGACCCCGTACAAAATGCCCGGAAAGCGACGAGATAGCATATTTGTCACCTGAAACCCCATGGCGCTCCGTGATGGCGAACACGTTGAGGCTTGGTTGGAGTTCGACAATGAGGCGGCCAAGCGATGGGATGGCCGTGGTGATAATGCTGAGGTTCACCATCACTCTGTGCGTGGTCAGCTTTTCAGGTCCGCCGGCTGGATTGGGATCTGGTTACTTACTGCCCCCAGAGACTGGCGTTAATGCTTGCCCCTATGTATGGTTAATACCGTGTGTGTGCATAGATAGGGGTGGTCGGTTACACATACATGTTCGGTCAGGCGAATTCATTGCAATGTTCGCGTAGTGCATTTGGATAGCGGTTGCCACACATACACTGCATATAGATCAGCTTCAAAGAAGTCAAGCAGAGAAGTGAGAGGTCAAGGTTCGCACATCATCCGGGTGGCGAGCAGGGCCATGATCCGTAGTCTCTTCGACCTGCTGATCTGGACTTTCTGGAGCACAATACACGGAAGAAAAACCAGTGCTACGTCGGTAAGAATATTCATGGTCCCGATGTAATTTGCGAGTGCTTCCTGATATTCTCATTATCAGGTGCAGCCCATTAGTTCTATGATTGCATCTACTCACTCGATTGACACAACGGCCTGTGGTGTCCCATGGACGAGGCAGAGCGCATTGGAAGGCCAGAGCTAGGATCGACGAAGATGTCCATAATCCAACTACAACCATCAAGCCTTGGCTCAGCCGCAATACGTTGCCCTCGGCCGTCAAACTGCGGAAAAGTAGCGCCAGGGAGAATTTACTGCAAGACAAGGTTGCAAGGAGGAGGATTTGCGTTCCGTATAGGTACTGAGGGAGCCGTTAGACGCCATCGGAGAATACCCTCGCGGTTCGGGTGACTCCGTTACCTTATCGAAGGAACTCAAGTCGTTGGTCGAAATTATGCGTATCTTCTTGCCGAGTCCATGATCGATGGCCAGTTGAACAAAAGCGCTCTGGAGAATTGCCAGTCCCTGTTACAGATGCTGATTGTTAGTCGTTTGCCAGAACAGGCCGACGCATGGAAGATGAGCCATACCGTGGCACTTGCGAGCAAGATATCATCTGGATAGACAACCCTTGCGATATACCATCTTGTAAAAAGTCGCACGAAGACAGTGACCACCGTCAAACTTAGAAAAGTATAGAGAGTGACAGCGACATACCCACCGTGATCATCATCTGAGATGGTGAAAAAGGGCGGCAGCGTGCCTGCCATGGCGGTTATTGAATCTCAGATGCAAAGCCGATCAGATCAGCAGAGAAATATGTGCGAAACCGGAAGGATATGCATGGGCTCACCGACAGCAGCCAGAAGCAACAATTTAGGAGTCAGCCTCATGGTCTTGATTGGCCTGGATAGCATGATAGCACTAGAAGTATAGACACAAGACCCAATGAAATACTTCGAATACCTAGAACTTGGCTCCAGACTAACCCTATCTGTATATCTCGCAAGCCTTTCGCGCCAATGCTTGTCCTCGAAGCCTCAGTGAACGTTTGGTGGCACCTTTATCATCTGATATAGTTCATGGAGTCCGTCGGACCTCGGCACTGTCAACGAACCAGATGATGGGATAAGGGAGTCGACGTTACATCGTGCCATGTAAAAGACAAGAAACACCCCCTGAAAAAGTTGGATTTCCAGAGAGTTCTGTTATCTCGCTTATCCTTGTAGAACAACCTGCATTAAGGTTTTCCTTTCCATATAGCCTACCTGGCAGTCGGAATGATAACCTGGTTACCGCGTTTCTAAGGATGTATGTCTATACTGTCACTTCTCCATAGCAGACACAAAAGCACAATGGTGCTAGCGTTTTCATTAGATGGAACCCTGGTTCTAGCCCTCTGTTGACACACTGGTGGCAAAGACACAAAAGTCAATTAAAATGATATGGCTGGACAACTCAGAGCTCCAGGACTGACAGTCTGAAACGCCAAAGACAGGGAGCCTTCAATGAAGTTGGCGCCATTCGATCATAATCTGGACTGACACATTAAACTGCACCGCGTATTTATAGTATTCTACTAATCAGGAACGAACCAGATTAAATTCAACCATATTAACAGACTCCGTTCCAGTTTATTCTTCTTTCTTTTGTCCGCTCTCGTCTCCACGCGGAGCGCATTTCCCCTGATCTATAGCTGGATTGCTTCATGCCTATACCGTCGAAGCCCCCCATGAAACTTTGAGCGTCATCATGTCGGAGGATACAATTGAGCTGTCACCCTTTGGGACGAAAGTCGCCCGTGAATATGCTCTGGAGCTCAGAAATCAACAAGAAACAAGCGACAAAAATGGCTTTGGCAACAGTGCCAACGGCGGGGGATGCACATCGTCGAATAACACCAGTGGGAAGCAGCGAATGGAGGTACGAAGGATGCACCTCACAGTGAGAGTCATCGTCGCTAATTTGATGCCGAATGGAAGAGGAAGTTCGGGTCGCTCTCCATCCTGGCTTTGTCAGTCACATTGTTGGCATCGTGGGAGTCCATCGCCAGGTTCGTTACCAGCCACATCCCCTGAGCTGGATAGTAATATGTCTCGGTTCGCAGTGGATTCGCCCCTGGTCTGATGAATGGGGGCCCTGCGGCTTTGGTTTGGGGAATGTTACTGTCAATGACAGGAACGATGGCACTGGCCTTGTCGCTGGGCGAAATGGCATCAATTTGCCCGCTTGCGGGAGCACAGTACCACTGGACAGCGCTGCTGGCGCCGCCAAGGATCAGGGCATTCAGCACTTGGATGCAGGGTATGAGCGCAAGCAAAAGCAGACCGACAATCACTGATATTATCACGCAGGCTGGATTACAGTGTTTGGGTGGCAGGCCGCCGTCACAAGTATCTGCTTCCTCGTGGCAACGCAGATCCAGGGCCTCATCATCCTAAACCATCCGGAGTATGCACCGCAACGATGGCATGGAACCTTGCTCATGTGGTCAGTGATGCTCTTCTCGTTGACCATCAATGTCTTTGCGGTTCGAATCTTGCCGTTACTTCAGCTGTTGGGCGGCATCATGCACGTCGTGTTCTTTATTGTTCTGGTCATTCCTCTGGTTCTGTTGTCGCCACGGAGCACGCCTGATTTTGTTTTCACCGAACTGCTGAATCAGGGTGGATGGAGCAGCGATGGTGTCTCTTGGTGTCTGGGAATGTTGACTGTGACGTATTGCTTCACTGGTATGGTATACATCGCCTTAGGGAATTCCGCTGACATCCGGCAGGATTCGATGGAGCCATCCACATGAGCGAAGAAGTCCACAACCCAGCCACAGTGGTTCCTCGCATTCTCATCCAAACGATTGCTATCAACGGCACTCTAGCCTTTGGCTTCATTCTCGTGATGCTGTTCTGCATCGGGGACATTCATACCATCTTGCACTCTCCAACCGGATTCCCCATCATCGAAATGTTCTACCAGGCCACCGGGTCTGTAAAGGCCACAACAGCAATGCAGTCGGCCATCACGCTCATCGGATTCGTCTCCAACATCGCAGTCGTCGCTTCCGTCTCCCGCCTCACATGGGCTTTTGCCCGTGACGGCGGCCTACCGTATTCCAAGTTCTTTGCTCAGGTAAAACCCGTCCCCTGTACTATGCCCACAGGTAGTTCTGACTATACCAGGTGGATGGCACATACCACATCCCCTTACGCGCCATCTGCCTCGTCTGCTTCACCGTGATCCTCCTCTCTCTCGTCAACATCGCCTCTACCACCGCCCTCAGCGCCATTCTCGCTCTCACCACCAGCTCGCTCTTCATTTCATACATTATCCCCATTGCCATGATGGCCCGGAAACGCATCCGGAGGGAGCCGATCGCATTCGGCCCATTTGCGCTTGGCCGATGGGGTCTGGCGGTCAACATCTACGCCGTCGTTTTTGGCTTCTTTATCTGTACTTTTGTCTCCTTTCCGACAGAGATCCCCGTTACAGCAACGAACATGAATTACAGCGGCCCGGTATTCCTGGGCGTGAGTGTCCTGTTGATTTGTGACTGGGCCGTAAGAGGGAGAGGGAGGTTTACGGGGCCATTGAAGGACCTATTAACGCAGGGTGCTCGCAGAGACGTGTAGTCATGTAGACGCCCTTAGTTCCGAATAACATCGTTTTAAAGGGTTGGCTCTCCTAAAGACCACGTCCGATAGCATAGGACTGAAATATGGACTACACCAACTACAAGCACTGGGAGTACCACGCATTCGCCACTGTGCAGGTATACCCGCTCGCGCACACAGTAGGTCCCGTCCACCCGATCCCTCCACATTGGCCCCAGTGGGCCGCAACGCCGGTAGTAGTCGACGACCCCCCGGAAGACGTTGTCGTGCTCGTTGCAGTGGTTTTGGAAGTAGTCGTGGAGGACGACGAGCCGGCAAACCCAAACCATTCCATGTCCTGCGTTCCGTGGATAGGAACGGTATGGCCGACGCCCGTTGCGAAGATCCCCTGCAGATTGGGACCCCAGTTGGTGGTCTGGTAGTTTGCCTGCGGGGTGTTGCTCAGGGTGGACTGTGGGGAGTTATAATTGTATCCGAACACCCCTGCCCACTGCTTGCAGGTTTCGTAGTAATTCTGCGGGTAGAGAGTGGTGTCTGCGCTGCCGTGGTAGATCTGCATGCGGGGACGCGAGCCGGTGTACCTAGCATACATTGCTTTGGCGATGCCACCCCAGACCTCTGGTGTGCTGACGACGTTGCCCTGGGCGCAGCTGCTGTTCCAGCCGTCGACTTGATTCGAGGAGGAGTAGAAGCAGCCGGCAGGAACGCCTGAGTAGACTGTTGCGGCAGCAAAAAGTTCGGGGTATGTGGCGGCTAGTACATTCTGCATGGTTCCCGTCAGTATGCAGTTTGCTTGGTTCCTAATGTGATCTGCGCACCGTCATCATGGCACCAGAACTGGACCCCGTCACGAAGACCTTGCTGGTATCGGCGTTGTACTGGCTGATGGTCCAGGTAACCATGTTGGCGATCGAATTGCTGTCGCCGCCGCCATTATGGTTCAGAGCGGATTGGGAGCTGACGTCCCAGCAGGTACCGCTATAGGGACTTTGAGGATAGATGACGATGAACCCATACTGCTCAGCCAGCTGTGCGTACGGAGATCCTGTGTAGTATGCCTGTGCAGTTCCAGTGCCTGAATCATGTCAACAATGTCTGCAGCTTATTGTATTTGGGCGTGCTTCACCTACAGTAATGAACAGCAACGACAATTCCAGGCTTAGTGGCCAGATTCTTAGGCACATAGATGTACATGAGTGTGCCAGAAGGGTTGTCTCCAAAGCTGGTCACTTGCTGAAGCGATCCGCTGGTAATTCGCTTGCGGACATCCTTCCCCGGAGTGGCAGAGGATAGGGCCAGATAGCAGAAGAGGGCGAAAAGAAGAGATAGAGCTCTCATGGCGTCGTGCAGAAGAACGGGTAATTCTGTTTAAGTAGAGGTCATTGAAACATGATAGATTCGCGCCGGCTGGGCTTTTATCATGACGAAGCTGTTTAGGCAATTCTGGCTGAATGCTACGGCAATTGGACAAGCGGAGGACTGAGAAGTGAGACTTTCTCAAACACTTCTCCCCCTTAGCCCCAGGATGGAGGTGTCTTCCCCGCATTCCGCACGGCAATCATTCTGCAGATTGGCTCCTGAAGAAGCTTATTTATCCAAAACAGGCTGCTTGGCTTCCGGAGCGGTAAAATCGGTCTTCGGGCCGGATTTCCTGAATCTTCAAGGGAATAAGGTTGATGTACGACTACTAATGCAGCAGTTGTAGGAAGAATGGCCACCTCCTGGCTAATGTGCAGTTCTCCTCCACATCGAACCGATAGGACCCCAGTCACGAAGTCAAGGGGAAACACTCGGTGGGCTCATGATCCCACGGCCGTTGCTGATGCATATACCTCACGCTAATGACTTGTTGCAGGTCCTCGGCGTACTTCATGTGCTCCATTTTGACAGTACGACATGGAGAGCTTATTATTGCCAGCCATTGCCCCATCCCAGCCGATTCATCCTTTGCTCTCTCGAGCGCTCACCCCTGATCACGACGAATTTTCAATCTTGCCACTAGGAGCTGCGGGTGAAAACCCAGCCGTGAATAGCCTCAATTTACTACCTTACACACCATTACCGCAGGCAGTTCCTGCTTCTAGTTCCACATTACCCTGCTATAGGAACCACTGGCAGGCTGGATTATACTCCGTAGTACCACACCTATCCCAAAATCCTTGGTTACCACTGTCTGATCGGACTTTAGACGTATCTAGGTATTTTATGATACGTGCGACCCCGAATGCTAAGGCTTATTTTTACTAAGCTGCGACTCAATGTATCAGCTCTACTGTTATTGCTTCTGAGTTGTTCAGGTTTGGCGCACAAGTAATGAAGGCGGAAAATAAAGCCCCAAGGCCTATATGTCAGTTGCATCTGAAGTACTAGAGTAGCTGGGAACGCGTAAGAAAGAATATTGAATGGAGACACAGTCGTTGCCTCTCATGCCTCCCATGGCAGTCTCCTAGTCAAGACAGACAAAGACAATGGTCTAATTCCAGCATTCCAGCACCCTTTGATATCTAAAGCGGAAGGATTGATGCATCGTTGGAGATCATTGTCGAGAAAAGGCCTTTAGCACTGAGACTCATAGACAGTGGTGAGCCACTACCCTCAGATTCGATACAGCGGAAAAATGTGGAATAATCCACAGGATTGACAAAGTTGCCTACTTTTGTGTACTTGAAGTCGTGTTAGGGGAGGCTTTGGCTGAGTATGCACCTAAGGCACGGCAAGGTAAGGCTCAAGTGAGGTAAAAATTCATTGGCAGCATTTTTGGTTTGCAACTTTGATATAGTATGATATAACCGAGGGTGGAGGTAGGTGAATTAAGAATTAGGATGATTGACAGGGAGGACTCGGGAATTATCCTTTTGTGAAAAGGGTAAAAATTCTCATTGCATTCTGAGTTCTGTATTCCCCATCTACTATAAAGTGGGCTGAAATATGCCCCTTCTCATAGATTCTCTGCATAGAATCTTAAGGTGTAGCGGAAAAGTAGGATATGCATATGTAATAGCTAGATATATTTACAGGCTTTTCCTGCATGGCTGTACACCATTTTCGGGACGTACTGGATGTTAATCATGCCCTCGGTGATTTGTCTAGAGTTACTCCATTCACTGCGTCATTATCTTGCAGATCTTCAGCTATGAACGCATTGACAAAGTGGCCTGATATGTGTTATGCATAATTTTGAATTTGCCATAAAGCCATAAGCTTTCTTGCCCCGGAAAGCGATCTCCGGAGCTCAGAGAGAAAGTTTAAGCTTGACATGGCCGAATCATTCTTGAACCTCTGTAAATCTAGGTTCAACTACATGATCATCCGACTTGCAATGATTGGATAAGTCTATCTACATTGGCCTGGGTCTGGTCTATCGAGATCGAGTGATCGACTAATAAACAAAACACCTCTCATGTTCCATCGCCACCTGTACGAACCCTTCCTGTCTACTTTGTTGGATGGCTTGAGACTGTAGGGCTACGTGAAGATAAACAATCAACTGATATATCATTCTAGATCAAGGATCGACTTTGAAACTTGTGGCAAACACCCTTCTCATAACTACGTAATCGACATCTTCTCGTACTATATCATGGAAGGGCTCGCCTACTGACCCAAAAGATGCCAGGAGTGCATTCGCGTCGTCTATCCTATCACAACGGACGATCTGGCTGGGAAGTTGAAATATTGACAAACCAGCACAATGAGATTCAAACAGGGAAACTTGAGGTCTTCTATTATAACATTGATATTAATCCTTCCTTGGAAAACTAGTGCTGCCGAATGCACACAAAGTGAAATTTCGCAGCTCTCAGTATCAGGTTGCACTTGTTCAACATCCTTTACTTCCTGCCCAAACACCTGCCCCCTGAGCAATAATTGCGGATCAAACTCTCAGACCACGCTGAATAAGTGCGATGTAGGCTGTACAGACGACAATAGAGACTGTACTACCTGCGACTTATACTTCGGTGGCCTGTGCCGGTGCCTACGCGACGGTGACTGCTTTCATGAACCCAGTACTGGTTCCTGGACGCTGCTCCACGCCGGCACATTAATCACCACACCACACCTCGTGCCGGGGATCTTGGAGTTAGGCACAGATAATAATGGCTGGCAACTAGGACAGGACGCGCTATCCACGGGGCATGTGTCCAGCTGGGACGACGGAACCCTAGCAATGAACTCGGTGCTCTCAAGGACCGAGGACCAGGTCCACATACATGTGTGTGATAGACCTACTAGTGTCTTTCGCAACTATCTTGAACAGAAGCGGGCAGCGCTCTACACAAGGCTCACTACGATGGATCTCGACCAGCTTGGATTCCCGAAAGGCAGTGTACTTTGTCAGGCCGCGCAGACGCACAATTTCGACATGGCAAAACTCACCCAGGACTATTTGAACAGTTTGGCTCCAAACAGTTGTGCTAAGTATCATACCGGAGCTGGACTTATTACCGATAAATATGGTTATACTTGGGGGTGCATCACCACGCGGGGGTCCGCAGAGTACCTTTTTTGCATGAATTAATACTGCAGTATCAGCAGGAGGAACTAATCAATTAATATCCGGCGTTAGTAGGTGGGATTTGTATTCTCAATGTGCTTAATACGGTGTCAATTTTGTTAGATAACCCTATCATAACAAAAGGAACTGTAATTGTAATTGCACTGTACGTGTCCAGACAAGATTACTCTTTACTAAACGCACTCAAGGACGTTGGGAATGTCATCGCGGTCTCTATAATGTATCCGACTTTCCCCGTCGACCGTTTCTGATCAGGCGCCCATTTGAACAAGGCCAAAGCTTCAACCGTGTTACGCGAGTCAGAACGTCGAGCTTGCCAGGCGATTAACCGGTTGCAACTTCATCTGCTTGGACAACGATATATCCCTTCTCTTTCCTGTAGCGAGGGGTGTGGGTCTCCCAGGAGGACTGCTTGGTCTCATGCTCAAGGCTAAGGCTTTGAAAACTGTCAGTAGAGATAGTAGAGTCGCACTAGCTGTCAGGGATAGGGCAAGGCCTTCTCGAAATCAGCCATTGCGTCCCGACGCAGTTCTATGTGGCACCGATGAATCTGAAAGGACTGGCGGCGATTCTCCCTCGGGAGTCAGGAAGGCTCTGCCGATTTCTATTCCGACGGCTTACGACACCGAGGCATTCTTTACACTCGTTCTTTGGGACCTGATTGGGTAGATAATTCGTCAAAGCAGGCCCAATCACCTGTATTCGCCAGAGACTGCTGATAGAGAGGTTGCTTCGAAAGTATGCTTGTATGGGAGGGTAGCGTGACATTACGGCTACATTACACTTGATGTTGATTCAGGCGCCAAAGAACTCGTTCTAATATAGTCAATATCTGTCGTGAGGCTATAAAAGAGCGGTACCAAAAGACAACATAAGGTGCCTATATGCCTGATGGTGTCAGACTTGGATCCTTACACCGTACATGTAGCAAAGCATCAACGCTACCTGCCTGGTGCGAGAGCATCGGAACCGTCGGATTTGGCTAATAGAGATAAGGGGACAATCCTACCTCTCTAGCACTTTAATCTAATGTTGACAGTTCAATTTCTAGGGACAAATGAAACAGTACTAGAAGTGATATCAGAGTACCTCAAGTTAATGATAAACGGATGGCGTTCTGATAAAGGCTCTAGAGTATGTCTTGGGGAGTTGGGCTCTCTCAGACTAACAGCCAGAGCCCAAAACTAAAACTAATATGACTAGTCACTCCTCTTTATGACTCCTCAATGTTACATAGCCGACATGTATCTTGCGAGATTTGATTGTGATGGTCCCTGTCTTGCAATATAGAATACAAGATAAAAGTATTGTGTCAAGTTAAAATCGGGAATGGATGTTCCCTCGGTCAAGACAGGTGCTCGCTTTGACCTTTTTAACTGAGAAGTATTTATAGCTCCCTGCTGCAGGCTGAAATGGTTGGTTCAGGAGCAAGATTCCCCGCAGTGGCTGCTATCTAGAGGTGCCATGATATCCAATGAGCAGTTGGTTCTTGTGGTCTGAGGTGCAGATGATTATGATGAGTGCCTTAGTTGGTAGGCTTATTGGTTGCTACATAGCAGATAGAGACACCATCGAAGCGACGAGCTGGCAAGCTCTCATGTGTGATTTTGACTTTAATGATCTCTAATGAAGATCTCTACCTGATTACATGCAAATATAACATCTTGGGGTTAACAGCGATATACTCTAGATGCCAGATGATACAGCGCACCAGCTCACATCAAAGTAAAAGCAACTCAAGTGCCATCAACCACTGTAAAGGGGAAACACAGGTCTTATCAGTGCTGGATCAATGGCTTACGGCGTTCCCCTCATGATAGGGTCAGAAAAGGTCAGCAGAATCGCGATTTATTACCTTTTAGATAATACTATAGATCGCTCCATGGTTACATCCATTAAAATAATTATAACACAATGCAACCAATCTCCCGATCAGTGCTAATTGAGCCAACCGCACTATATTCCTGTGTTCATTCATGCAAGCTATAGGGGTTCGTATACCTTGCTAGTAGCAGATACATAATGTTAACCAGAGCAAGCAAGCTTTCAGTCACTGTCTTGCCCAGAGACTTAAGACAAGAGCTAAGGCAGTGGATCAACTCTTATATTCAACATCTTCAGAGTGCTACACTTTTGGCAGCGTTACATTTATTTCGCTGGGGATTTCCCTATCAAATCTCCGTCATCTGATACGTTATCTTGCCTGCCTCCTTTGGGGCTGTCTTCCATCATCCCCTACAGCAAGCCAAGGTCAACCGGCCTAGGCTACAGTGTCTGGTGCATATTCTTAAAGTCCCCCAAGCATGTAACTCCTTGCCTTGTTCCGATCCACGGCTTTAGAATCTAAGAGTCGCGGGGACGGAACCGGTGGAGCCTTCGACGATCCTTCGGTCCTCGCATTGCGGGGTTTGAGGCTGGATGTCACAGGGATCAGCTAGTCGAGGCGAAAGGCTGACGCTGCTATGCTACCCGAACCCTTTCTTATCAGGCCACCCACACCTCTAAGGCTGTAATCCGGGCTGCATTATTGGACGAGCTCGGGAACCGTCAGCATGGAGGCCATCGACTAAATACTACATTGAAGGGTTGGACCGTAGTATCAGGTTTCACGTGGCTATACAAGGAAGCTTTTTCCATCCTCCCTAGTCCACACTGGCGTGTTATCTGAGAATAGAAATAAAACAAGACGTCCATCCACCCATTACCTACGGCCTCTTCATTCAAATATTCCAGTATTCCCTCGTAATTACCTGTGTTTCGGTAGAATTCTACACACTCCGCCACTATGTCTGCGGAAACTACTCCCCATGACTACAGTGGGAGCATCGACACTCCTCCAGATCTACCGGCGGGATGGAAGTACAGGCAGCGCCGCATTTTCGGCCGCAGCATTCCCTGGTATGCCTCGCCCAGCGTCCAGTTGCTGTTGGTGGCATTCGTCTGTTTCATGTGTCCCGGAATGTTCAACGCCCTCGGGGGCTTAGGTGGTGGTGGAAAGACGGACGCTACTTTGGCAGACAACATGGTGCGTGGAGAGCTTACAAATTTTGAAGGCATTATCCGTTGACTATTGAACAGAACACGGCTCTTTACAGTGCTTTCGCAGTCTTCGGCTTCTTTGGTGGTACGTTTATCAACAAGCTCGGTGTAAGATGGACCCTTGCTTTTGGAGGCATCGGATATTGCATCTACGCCATTAGCCTGTTGGTCTCGGTTCACGCCAGCGTTGCCGGCTTCAATCTCTTCGCTGGCACATGGCTCGGTATTTGTGCCGGTCTTCTGTGGACTGCTCAGGGTACCATCATGATCTCCTACCCTACTGAGGAACAAAAGGGGAGGTACTTCGCTTGGTTCTGGGGTATCTTCAACATGGGTGCTGTTATTGGCAGCTTGGTACGTCTCTCTAGCTCAACGCATTGATATCATGCATCTATGTCATCGTCACGGGCTGTCTAACACCCAACCTAGATTCCCCTCGGCGAGAACATCCACGTAAAGACTAACACCACTGTTTCTGACGGTACTTACATCGGTTTCATCGTCTTGATGTTCATTGGTGCTCTACTTGCTCTTTGCCTCTGCAACGCTAGCGACATTATTCGACCCGACGGCAGCCGTGTCATCTTGATGAAGCATCCTAGCTGGCAGTCTGAGCTGATCGGTCTCTGGGAAACCCTCCGATTCGAGCCATTCGTTGTCCTCCTTTTTCCCATGTTCTTCTCCTCCAACTGGTTCTACGTCTACCAGCAGAACTCGGTCAACGGCGCTCACTTCGATACCCGAACCAAGGCTCTTAACAGTCTCTTATATTTCTTGGCTCAGATCATTGCAGCTGCCATCTGGGGATACCTTCTTGACGTCCAGGGCATTCGCCGTTCTGTCCGAGCCAAGATCACCTGGGTCGTTCTCTTGATCCTCACTTTCGCCATTTGGGGTGGCGGGTACGCCTATGAGAAGACATACACTCGCGCCACCGTCGATCACAAGCTCAACCCCGATTTTGTCCCAACTGACTGGGAGACCCCCGGCTATGTCGGCCCAATGTTCCTGTATCTCTTCTACGGCTTCTACGATGCCGCTTGGCAAGCCAGCGTATACTGGTATGTTAGCCGTTCGCGTCAAATTCCGCTGGTCTGATTGACTGATGACCATTGATTATGTGAATAGGTTCATGGGCGCTCTCTCCAACTCTGGTCGTCGCTCTGCCAACTACGTTGGCTTTTACAAGGGGATTCAGTCTTGCGGTGCGGCTATTGTGAACAATCTCGATGCCCGCAAGCTCTCCTACGAGAAGGAATTCATCAGCAATTGGGTTCTCCTGAGCGCATCCCTCGTTGTCGCCGCCCCTGTCATCTTCCTCAAGATTCGTGACCACATCGATGTCCAGGACGATGTGGCAGGCACGGACGAGACTATAGCTGATGTTCTCCCCGCTAACCATCCTGAGAAGGTCGTGGCTTAAGGGTAGCATATTTACTTTCTTGGTAGTTAAATAGTTTGAGCAATGAATCTGCTACTCTGTAAATTTAGCAAGCAGATGATTAATACTACTTTTTGGCCGCCTCATTCCTTGCATCTAGGCCTCGAAATGGGACCGCAAGGACCGCAAACCAAACCGGACTGGACCGCTGCGGTCCGGTCTTTGGTGCAAGACCTTAGGACCGCACTACTGCAATCTGGTTAAGACCAGCAGTCCTACAAACAGGACAAACATAGGAATCCCTGTGACATGCATATTTTGTGTAAAATCTATATGTATTTTTAAGTATTTTGCTTACAGATTAGTTTCAATATTAGATGGATATACTCAGATGGAATGCAATATAAGCGAAGTTTAGATTATAATGGTTTTTTCATTAGTAACTCTACTAGATCAATGGCTATTCATACACAAAATCTTCATCCCATCTTAAATGCTTTGAAAGCCGCCCTGATGAGCGCCTCTGAGTACTACTCTCTTGTTATAAGCGGCTGTTGTTAGGTAGAGGAATCTTATCAACTTCATCTAATTTAATTAGAGGCCCAGGCTTATCTGAGATAGCTTTAGCCCTTCTCTTCCCAAGCACATGCTCACTAGAAGGTTGAATAGCTTAAGATATGGCCCCAGTAGCAGACAGTTCATCCTTGTCATCACTAATAGGATCAAATTCATCTTGTTTTTTCTGAGCGTCCTTTTCCTCTTTTGCTATTTGCGTTTCTTAGGTAGTAAGGTACTCTTCCATCAGGGAAAGCTGCTCAGATTCTATATCAAACTTTGTTATATACATAAATAACATTAGCTCCTTAATTATTTTTAGTTTCAGTAAGCCCCGGCGGTAGTGGCAGATATCCTAAGCAGAGTTGAATAACCGCTTAACGCCAGAACCACTAGCTAGAGTGGTAAGAACGTCTTAGGCAAGGCTTGCCAGGATAGGGTATTCATGTTGATGATCCCTCCAGTACACCTAGGGATTCACTAGTTGCGTACCTATAGAGGTTAGTATAAGAGAAGTAAGAGGTGGAGGATAGAGCTTACTACTTCCAAGATACCACGAAAGCTCATCATTAGCAGTCATTTATGGCTGTAGAGATTCAGCTAATGTCATAAGGATATTAACATCAGAGATGCCTCCTGTTGAAGACTGGGCAGTTAATGTAGACTATGTCTCTAAATAACGCTGCTAGTAAGGTTGAATATAAGCCTTGAGGGACTTCTTATATCATGGCCGCCAGTGTGGCCCCCAGTCCTTTATGGAAAAGAACTCAAGCTTATTCTGTGGCGCCAAGATAGTCCTAATTGCATAGAGATCACCATCAATCTCATCAGTCTTGCTATAATACTCCGAAAGCTTGATTTTTGCAGCCTTAAGCACTAATAGCATTACCTTCTTCCAGCTAACCTTCTTACGCGTAAGCTGTGCCCTAGACTTCTTAAGATGAGCGAATAGGGTATTATAGATTGCAAACACACTGTGGATGGTAACCTCTGTGGTCTGAGAGAGAGAGGTTGTGAATTTAAAGAAAGGCTGGGTGATAGATAGAAGATAGTCAATCTGTCGCCATTCATCCTTATCTAGCTTCAGATCAGGATAACCATACTGGGAGCAGTACTCATCAAAGGTAGACTGTAGCCGCCTGGCCTGCTGTAGCATAAGATATGTTGAATTCCAGCGCGTCCGAACATCTTATATAGGGATAAGCTTTGGTTCTTTCGTCTGAAGATCCACAAAATTCTCTCGGCGTTGGGGACTTTTATTGATGAAGATTGCTAGCCGTCAAACCTAAATAATGATTAGTAGTTAGGATAGCAGAAGAGAGAGAGTCATACCTTATTTAGAGTATCCATGATCTCTCTGTTCTCTTGCTGGGCCCTATTCTCTCCCTTAGTCCATTCCATCTCTTCTCTATCATTCTGGGGGATCGCTTCCATCTCACTGAGTAGCTCCTTCAAACTCAGTTAGATAACGTGTGCGATACATGGCATATGAATAATGGGTGTATGGCTCGGAATCTTAAGAGATGTGAGGGCCTCTTGAAGACTACCCATTAACGTAGAGTTATTAGACGCATTATCAGTAGTAATAGTCAACACCCAGTTAGTAATCTGATATTTCTTAAGAAGTTCAAATAGAACAGTGCTTAGATAAGACCCAGTATGTAAGCCATGCAGGGGTTCAAAGCTAAGTAAGAGCTCACAGTAATTCCACTCTTGGTCAAGAAAATAGCCCGTCACTGCCATAAAGGCCTGGTGAAAAGGTGAGGTCCAGCAGTCTAATGCAATAGAGAGCTTGGCACCCTCCGGAAGCTTCCAAAGCAGAGTATATTAACGTTCTTTGACCAATTCTTGAAGATGCTGGCGGACGACATATGCAGAAGGGATTTCGGGGAAGGATGGAGCAAGCCGGGCCATTTTGATAAGGGCGTGAAATTCTGGATGCTTAACAAGCTGGAATGGTAGCCGTGAGGCAGTTATGAAGGTGATTACCCTCTCCATCCAGGCTTGCTGAGTGAAAGATGCTTTTTAAGGAGCCCAGTGTGCCTAGTAAGGAGGTTTAATAAGATGAGTAAAGGTTCAGAGGAAAGATAGAGATATCCATACCCCATTATGTATCAGCCGTCGAATATCCTGTAACTAAGGCGCCAATTTCTGACAGTTAATCCCTTGCAAATAGTGTCTATTCATAGTAGATGTTCCACGGTGGCGGTCAGCAGGATGGGCAAGGATATGGTTGCATGTCTTATACATAACCTTAGGAGACCCATCCTGGATAGCAGCTACCTGGTGGAAATGGTCCTAAGACTCCGCGTGGTGCTTACCCTTAAAGATATTTTATTTCATCTCACTTCCATACTCAGTCTTTAACCACCATATGACGAAGTCATCATTCACCATCTCTGTCCAGAGGATATAGATCTTCTTCTTTGGAGGACTAACGCGTTTAAGTGTCTCAGGGATGGCGGGCAGAAGCGCTGGCTGTGTGAAACTAACATTAGGTGTGGAATTCAGCGTGTTCTTGCCATATAAAGGGTTTAAATAGCCCATCAGATGGAAGGAAGGAGAGGTTATCCAATGGATTTTCCTCAAAAATTGATGAGGGATAGTGATCAGAGAACTGAGAGGCCTGGCTCTGTGACATTATGATGAATTAAGTATAAGATGGAAAGTGGGAGCATGTAGAAGAGACTTACTAGAAGACTTTTTGACTAGGAGAAGAAGAAACAGTTAATTACTAGGGGAAATGCCTACTAGCATGAACAAAGGAATGGATAGATTAACTCAGAAGCTATCTAATGATTAGGTAGTAAGTCCTATAATATTGCAGTCTGATGCAGTTAAGACCGCATAAGACCGCATTGGACTGCATTGAACCGCATTAGACCGTATTAGACTGTATTAGACTGCATTGGACCGCAAAAAACACCGCAAGAACTGCAGTAAAAACTGCAAAACCCCTAAATAAAACTATAAAGACCGCGAAGACTGCATTAAGAACCTCTGTAAGGCCCACATGACGTCGAAACCCCCCTAATTCTTGCAAGTCCGCCCTCCATATGGGAAGAAACCATCTTTCTATAGGGATTATTAGGATATATTAGTCGTAAAGTATGAATATTTTAGGAGGAATATACTTTAGTGAGATGTAAGCTTTCTAAGTATATGCTAATTGGCTAATTTAATTAGACTAGCTGGGCATGAATATTTAATAAAGAAATCTTTTTGATGATGGCGGTAGACTACTCATGTAAAAGTATATATTTCCCACTCATACGCTTCACTAACGACCACTCCTACTCAAACTTACTACTCAGAGCCTAAGATCTACTAAAAATGCAGGAATAAGTAGGGTTTAATGCTCAATATCTCATATACAAGTAGATTTCATCTAATTTCATAAGGGTTGGTGCTTAGTTATAGTAGATGCTGATGTAGGAACCAAAATAGTGTTTAATAACAGTAAAAAAATTAGATGAGTTAGTAAATTATACAGCCAAAAAAGGAAAATCTTAGCAAATTTATGCAATTATGGTCCTGTGCAGTTAAGACTGCAAGGGACCGCATGGGACCGTGGTCCGGTCCAGTCTCAAAATATTATGACCGCAAGACCGCGCGGTCTGGTCCTTGGTCACCGACTATAGGACCGGGACCGCACCATTTCGAGGCCTACCTATACCATTTCCAATAGGAAATGCATAAATTAGCAAACTGGCTTCAACACTGAATAGTGCCAGGTTCAGATAGTGCAGGAAATGTATACAACGAGCAGATGATTTCTTCCCTCTCTTGTTCCATGCAATGAGATCAATTTTAAAAGAGCCAAGAATAATCGACCAAAGAGAAAACAGAAGAATCACCGGGTTGCATATAATAAAGTTAGTGATATCGTTTCCAAGGTATGCCAGGACGGTAAAATATAAACCAAAGCCACCTTCCACAATCATTATGAATATGTTACCAACTGCGAGAGATGATGATCCTTGGTAGTAGTCATAGTCCGGTGTGAACGTCGAGGAGTTTTCTGGTGGTGTCCTATCAACGGGAAGATTTATAGAGTCATGTGTTTGGTTTCTTGAAATTGTTCTAGAGTAATTAGTCTGATAGAATAATCAACTGATGCATGGTTACATACCTAGTCAGAATAAGTCATAGAGGTTGGAGGTAGTGGTAGCTCAGTAGGTGCATTGCTTATTGCTTCCTTATCATTAAATTTATAGGCTGAGCCTCTGAGGAGAGTCCTGTAACGCTACATTACAGTGGCACGTCAAATGTTTGAATCCAGCGTATTTACCGCTAGCCTGATTAGGAACCCTGATAGGTTCTCAATGACTACTAATCATAATAGTCCCCAAGGGGTGTACCAGAATGTTTTCTATAAATCCTAGACGATTTCACCTAATACTGTGAACCTCACAGATGTTCTACTCGCATCTGCGGTGATAATTCTTTGCAATACGCCATGATGTTAGTTAAATATGGTGAGGTAT